GAGCATGAGAAACAAGCTCCATGAACTTAAGATATACTGTAAGTTAAATTCAACCGCCTTTCGGCCACACAGTGACCTTTGCAGTAGAATTTGCATTTTATTTACACTTTCTCAGTTTCATACATGACTTTGGACATGAAATGCTTGTAGCTACAGCTGCTCTGGTTGCCGATGCTTTGTGGTGAGTACAAAGACAACGTGCCAGGCTGCTCCCATGACTTGGACATGTAAAAGGTTAGGACTGAATTCACGTGTTCTTTTCATTATTGTGACAAGAAACTACTGCGAGGTATTTGGACACGTATGAAAGGCAAACAGCAAGTTTCTGTTGTATCTGGTTCCTCATTCAACAAAAGGCCTCGGCAGAGTTTTAGCCTTCAGACAGTGCATGCTGGGAAATCTACTAAGGGGGGGGGGTTCTGTGGAAGCTTAATTTAATGGCTTCAATGAGTTCATTCATTTTCATTTTATAGCCTGACATTGAAAAATGTAAACATTTACATTAAGTTAAAAGATTAGTTGATTTGATGCTTTACAGTGGGTTTGTGTGTCAGCAGCACAGATCAGCTCTGTTGCTATGGAAACGTGGTGCGCATTTCACAGGAAATGAAGCTAAAGTTTTTAATTTTCAGTTTAATTCTGAAGATAAGAACTTGTTACTGATCTCTGCTACATCTCTATAAAGGAAATGTGTTGCCAAGTAAAAAAATCTGCTTTAGAAAGTCTGGACCTTCAAACACATTGAGCACCCCCACCTCACTGCAACGACATGTTCAGGTAAATGGGACAAGTCACCGAACAGTTCAGCTCAATTAAAGAACAAGTGTATTTCATGTTTGTTTTAAATGAAGTTCACTCAGTTAATTAAATCATTTTTGAAAACTGTCGGTTAGCTGTAAACATCCTATGAATTAAAATAAATAAGAATGTAAACAGATTTCAACAATATTATCAGAAATCTATTCCACTCTCTGCAAGCATATCAGTATCATCTGGGATCCCGCTGTCACCCCTTCTGCACAGGAGATCCAGATGGTTTTCAGTCACTTCATCTCCATATGACATTTCACAGGATCAGCAGAGAAGATCGGCAGATTTTGTTTTTCCAGTGAACTTGATTTTTTGCAGGGTTTTCCTTCAGTATATGTAATTAATGTGCTCCATTGGGGCTGACATGTACTCACTACATTATTTTTAAAAGCCAGTGTTTGTAACAGGGATGGGACAATGTATCGAAATTCAATATATCGTAATACAAAAACCTTATAATATGAATCATTTAGTCAGGCAATAAGACACCTTAACAGAATGTAAGTCAGCATATCTGGTTGCTAGAAAAGGGGAAGAAAGAGGAAGAAAGTGCAAGTATCCGGCAGCTAGTTGGACATTGTTGGCATTGAATTTTCACTTTTATCATTGAATAAAATCGTACACACAGTATCGTGCATCAAATCATATCAAGAAAAAAATCACATTTCCCCGTCCCTAGTTTGTAATATGGGTTTATGACACTGGTGGCCAGAAAAATGTCTCATTTTAGCTGAATGTTTTGTCCTGATTTAACGGATGCATGGGGCGCTCACTCCTCTGTCCCTCCTAGTTACCTCGCACCAATCAAAACTGTTTTTATTTAAAGGAGAATTGTAGCAACAGTTTAATAACATGTGATGACTGGCTGCTGATACTTACAGAGCCCAAGATGGGAAAACTTATTTGTCCCATTTTCTCTCATGTATAAAATAACCTGACTTCACTCTTGTTAAAGGTCAGGATCAGTGTGACCACTGCAATTCAGTAGTGAAGGAAACTTTTATTTCAAAACTTTGACACACCTTGTATTTAAGCTGACATAAAACTACATTAACCGGGATCAGACGTGTTAAATTTTCCCCTATGCTGCAGCGTCACCCAGAGAGGAGTCACATGTCTGTGCCGACCTGGACTCTTCTTAAAAGAGAAGGTAACCGGAACCTTTTCTTTTCTCTTTAACATACTTTTCTTTCTGAATAACTTGATTTTGTTTATACAACTCGAATGACCTACCTCTGGTGTTTGTGTCTCTTCTTCAGATATTGTCTCCGTACAGGATCCAGGACAGAGAAACCCGACACTGTGACAACACAGTAATCTGACACTAGTAACATAAGGCTCCCTCAGCCAGGTCAGTTCAGGTTAATCAGCTTTAGTTGGGTAAATGTCCACTATTCAGTCTTTAGTCCTCCATGTTTTCTTTTTGTTATTAACACTGACAACATTTTAATAGAGAAGAAAAACAAGTGTTTGTGTGTATGAATTATAACTTAACGAGGAGAAATCCCAATAGAAATAATAGCCTTTCTTGTACAAATAGCGATATTTTTCAAAACAGCACACAAGAACAGAAAACATGAATTAGTTTAATTTAGATTGGTACTAATAAAAATACATAGATAATGAATGAGAGCCCTACTGTATGCTGTCTCTCTCATACTTTAAAAAATAAAGCTATTAGTTTGCGTGACCCTGTGGAACAGCAGTTGACAAACCAGTCTCAACTCAAGACCCTCTTTGTCACTTGTGCCAGAGCTTTTGGCCTTTTTACAGTGGCTTCATCAGTGGGGTTTTGTAAACATCATCATCATCAGCTGATCTTGCTCAGTGGTCATGTATCATCATATCCACAAACTCCACCTGCTGGAATAAGAGGAGAAGTGAACCATTTAGTTTGTTAGCATTGAAAGACTATGGTTCCCATGATGCTTTAGCAGCGTTGAAGTGGTTACTGTTCTTATTTTAATGACTTCATGACCTTTTAGTGCCAAACTCTGGATCATCTTAATGTCAGCATCGTTATGGATGAACAAATATAAACAATTCCCATGTTCTGGTTGTTGCTTCATTCACGTTTATGCACTAAACACAACTAGTGTCTGTTTTCATTGTAACCAATTTAATGTTTTTAGTTTCTAGCACATAAAATACCAGAAATGACCACAGACGACGAGCAGCATGTCAGTGTACAGCTGTCACTGACATCTTGTGCTCATTACAAATAACCTGAAGCTTTTAAACTTTTGAATTAGAGGATGTAAAACTCTTATGTAGACAGAACAACCAAATGAAGTGATAAATAATTGAGGCGATTAAATAATTAACCAAATTCATAAAGAAAGCAAAGTGTGTATTGAACAACTGATATATCAATGAAACCTCCTCAGTTTGCCATTATTGGAGTTTTGATGGATTACAGATTTGCTTGTTTATTGTGTAGTTTTTCTATTGGGGCCATTTGTTGACAGGAAGCAGACGCCAGCGAACAATAAATGGTTTCATTTCACAGCTGACCCTGGCAGACCTGATCACTGGCAGACTGAATTGTTATTTCACAGACTGTAATTGATTAATGCAAAGCAGCAGCAGCCAGACTGGGACCAGGATCCTCAAACAAAGCCTCCATTTACAGAGAGGCGAGGAGGGAGGGAAGGGGTGCTATACATCTTGGAAAGCCTCAATAAGTTAATAACAAAATAAAGTCTGAAAAAATATTGTGAGTGTACAAACCAGCTAAACCGCTTTGGTTTGACTCACTCAGCAGATAAATAAGATCGGATATGTGTTGTTTATCAGAGGGAAGTGAATGTGAACACATACATCCAGCAAGGGGGAGGGGGGGGAGGACAACAAAAGCTCTGAATGCCATGGAGAGAGAGATGCTGCATTCACGTGCTCCCCGTAGAATCTGCCTCCGCATCAGAGAGGGAGACATGGTAAGAGACAGCTAATCTTGGCGTGCAGTAAATTACCCTTTGCACCAAGTAATCAAAATGATTCCATGATTAATTAATTTGATAATCAACAGAAAATGAATCTACAATTATTATATGGATGTTTCAATTTTGGTTCTAGTTTCTCATATGTGATGATTTGATGTCTTTAATAACTTTAGCTTTTGGACAATAATCATTTTCAAGACAACATAAACTCTGGTGAACTGGTAATATTTTAATATTCTGTTTTAATCTTTAAAACTAATTTGTTAAAATAATTTAGGCTATTAGCTTTTCCAACCTCATTTCATGGTCTTCCCGGTGTTGATGAAGACAGTGAGAGATGTCAATGAAAGTTCCAGAAACGTCTGGTAAGCTGACATTGCTTTTTAAAATGATTATTATTTTGTTAAATCATTTTCTCAAGGTCAAGAATAAACTTGTATTCTTGTGCTGTGATGTGAAACCAATATTTATAAGATAAAAAGCTTTTTTTCTGTTTGCTCTGTATAACGTGGAGTAAAATTACAATATTTGTTTCCAAAATGTGGTTGAGCAGAAATATAAAATATCATAAATGGAATTGCTCCAGTAAAATACAAGTACTTGAAAACTGGACTGACAGTACTAGTCTTGAATAAATGTACTTCACCCCCCGCTGATTTTAGTCCTTCTTTTAAGAGTTTTAAGAACAGGGACCGGACGGACAAAGTGCCCTAAATTCCCCGATTCGGTGACCTTTCCCAGCTGGCCGTATAAACACGCGGCTTTCCGGCAGTCCCTGAAGGTATCACCATTTCCAGTCAGATCGGTCTGAACGTGACGCGCCGACTCGGAGCCGAGCGAGGTTTCCCGGGGTACCTGCGGAGAGCAGGAGCCGAGAGGGTCTGTCTGCTTGTCAGCCGCCGCATTCTGTGTCTCTTTGGGAAATACGAATACCTTCTCTTTTCGGCTTCCACAGTCTGGACACGGTCTCAGCGGCTATGGATATGTCTCTGTCCTGCTCCTGTTTGCGCCACTGAGGGACATTACTCCGTTGGATGCTCCAGTACCCGTAGAGGAGGAGCACGGGGCATCCCTGTCATTCTTCAACTACCAGGTAAAATTGTTGTTATTGTGTACTATAACGCGCCTGGGGTGGGTGTGGGAATTGTTGGTAGGAACAGGGAGAAGAGGAGGGACGGAGGGAGCGGGAGTTAGGGTCGTCGTTTTGGGCGCACTGGGAGCGTGTTTGTCTCGAGCCCGGAGCGGGTGGGAGCGGAGGTTAGCTTGCTAGCTAGCTGCTGTTAGCAGCTGCTGCTTCGTCATTTACCAGTCCGGGAGGGATGCTGCTGCAGGAGGGAGGGGAGTGCTAGGAATGATAGCGGTACCGTCCATTTGGCCTCGGCCCATCTGCGTGATGAACGACACCCTCAACCTCCCCGTTATACCCCTCTCCCCCTCCTCCCTGTTCTCGCATCCGTTGGGAACCACAGCGGCACGTCTCTGTTCGAGCTGAATAATAACACAACCAACAAACCGGGAGCTCTTTAACCACATAGATGAAAATCCCCCCAGCTCCACCGCCCGCCTGCGACTATCAGTTAGCCAGCCTGCTGTGCTAGGCAGCCTTCCATCCAGGCACCCAGCTAGCTAGCCGGCTAACAGCTAGCATCACCCCCCTCCCCCCACTAGCGTCCCTGGCTAACCTGCATCCTCCAACCGAGCCATCACAGGCCACCCTGACCCTGCTGCTTCACACCAGCTTTCATCGCCACTTACAGCGACTAATCGGTACTGAAGTCACAGCCAGACCTTTATTCACGTCCCCCCCCCGTTAGAACACGGTGCGTGCCGAGCGGATGTTGTTATGTAACAGATAACGACACCACACGCCCTTGAAACAAAGCTGTTGTTTCAGTGTTTGTTTGTTTGTGTGCGGTGCAGGACTCGATCATAACCAATACATCGCAGATGTGGCGCGTTTGTGGTTCCCAAGGCCGCAGCTCTGGAACCGGCTTCTGGTTTTTGTTGTCATTGGAGGCTCACGTTTGTTTTCCAAGCTTCGGAAAGCGAACCTGTGCACAGTGCATTGAGGGCACACGTCCAGTCTGCTTCAGCATCTTCTGCTCCTACTGTCTGAGCTCAGAGAGCTGACAGGGCACATTCTGAGCCACAGTCACAACAGGGAATGTGAGTATTAAACTGTACAGGGAGTCGGTTTGAATTCATGTTTTCTTATTACATTCCTTGTAACATTAGAAGGAAGGGGACATGCAGGTTGTCTCATGATGGGTAACTGGAAACTACTTGATCGGTATGAATCATCACTATATCTTTTGGGATCTTTGTGTAATGTATGAAGGTATTGCTGATGCTATCTATGAGAGTAGTAGATCATACTTTACGGGTGTAAAGGTTAAAAACATCAAGCCAGGCTGGAAGAAGTATGTGGCGGTAAAAGCGTATAAGGAATGGGTGCAAGTAGGTAGGTAGACCCAGGGCTGGAATGGAACTGGAGAATAAAAAGATCACTGGGGCAAGGTATAAATATGCTGTTCGCTATATCACTAAACGTGAACAGAATATGAGAGCGGATGCTATGGCTGAAAAATTGGCACACAATAATGTTTTGGGATTTTGGAATGAGGTGAGGGCTCTGAATAGGGTTAATTCCCCACTGCCCAGTGCCCGGACAGGTAGCCAGTCTATCACAGAGCTCTTTAATGCTTATTCGCTGGCTGTTTTAATTGTCAATTAATGAAAAATGTACATTTCCCTCTCTTTTCCTCTGTATCCCCTCCTGTCCCCCTCATTGTGCACAGTAATCATGGCAGAAGCCCACCAGGCTGTGGCCTTCCAGTTCACGGTTACCCCGGAGGGCATTAACCTGCAGCTATCCCACCAGGCCCTCACTGAAATCTACCTCTCTGGTGTGCGCTCCTGGAAGAAGCGTGTCATCAGACTCAAGGTATCACCACCCTGGGCGGTGCACCGGTTGTCTGTTTTGTTTGTTAATGCTTAGCCTGTGTTGATATCCCAAAACCAATCTGTCTTCTGTCATGTGAACAGAACAGTGTGATAACTGGGGTATATCCTGCCAGCCCTTCCTCCTGGCTTTTTGTGGTTATAGCAATCCTGGCTACTATGTACACTCGCTCTGACCCCTCCATGGGACTCATAGCCAAGATACAGGAGCACCTGCCAGTCAGGTAAAGCATCTCATGACACCATGACGTAGTAAAAGTTAATGATAAATCTTGTGATTCCCCAGACACAGAATGTTCCTTTTTCCTGGCAGTAGATTGTGTCATAGTGACACTGTTTACATAGACCTTACTCCTTCCTATTTTTATAGTCTTCTATGATTGTAAATCATTTTATGTATGCTGATGATTTGGCCATACTTTCGCCCAGCAGTGCTGGTTTTCAGCAACTGCTGAATGTGTGCTCGGACTATGGATTGAAGTATGATGTGAAATATAATGCAGAAAAGAGTGTTGTACTGATCTGTCGGACTAAAGGGGACAAAGAACTTTGTTTGCCAGACTTTTGTTTGTCTGGACAAAGGTTGAGTGTCTGTAGAAAAACTAAATATTTAGGACATTTCATTACAGATCAGCTTTCTGATGATGAGGATATATATCGGCAGTGTCGCATTTTGTATGCTCCAGCTAATATGTTGGTTAGGAAATTTCACATGTGTTCTGCTAATGTTAAAGTTCATTTGTTCAGAACATACTGTACACCGTTGTATACTGCCCCATTGTGGTGTAAATATAAGGTAGCTACTTTACAGAAACTTAAAGTTGCTTATAATGATGCCTTGAGGATTCTGCTTAAGAAGCCTAGGTCCACCAGCGCCAGTCTGTTGTGTTCACAGGTCCATGTTAGTACCTTTCAGGCATTAATGAGAAACCTGATGTACAGATTTATCTGTCGTGTGAATAACTCTGAGAACAGTCTTATAATGATGCTGGCTAATCCTGGTTTTAGTGTAGTACGTTACCAATCCTCTCTGTGGAAACATTGGTATAAATGTCTTTTATGATTTTTATTTTGAGTCTGCTAATAAAGGATGATGATGATGATGATGATATATGTGTGAAACTGATCAGGGAAGCATTTACATCTAAGTTATACAGGGACAGTATAACCTGTAAAAACAGAGATACTACAAAAGAACAAAACGCATTACAAGATGTTCACTGTATTTTTTGACTCATTGGGAAGAAATGTGATGCTCATTTTCAGCAGTCTTTTGTTTTGAACAGCTGCTTGCAAAGTCTGTTGCACATATAAAGAGTTTGGTCTCATGTAATTCATAACAGTGGAACAGTTTTCATTGTTTTAAACCCTGTTTTGATTATGTTACAAGTGATTTCCCATGTGTTGGCCATATCGTGATCAATATTGAAAATATCATTAGAAATATATATGTGTTCTTCTAACCTTGGCTAGGCGGCAGGCGGGGCTGATTTACAGACCGTACTTTGACAACACAGGGTGGAGAAGCTGGAATAACAACAGGAGGCTGTGGGCAGCAGAGGGTCATGGAGGGGGGGGTGTAGCTGGGAGACACTGTCACTGGGGTTATCTGATGGTGTTGTATCACAAGACATTGCATGTTGCTGTATCAGTTATTTGTCCCACATGCTACCTAAAGGAGTTCATCAATTTTAGATATGGCTGTTGTCATGGAGGTGTGAAGTGATCCTGACTTCTAGGTTTGGCATCAGGAAATGGACCAGCACTCTAATCACTGTTTGTACAAGAAGTTTGTCAACTCTACGGAGAAGTCATGAGACTGTAAATGTGGGCTCAGACATGTAGCTGGTTGCTTTGGTGCAAAACTGCTTTCTCAGCTGGGAAATGTAGCACCTTCTCTTCTGTTACTAAACCTTTGATTGCATTAGGTCTGTAGGAATTGGTCTGACACTGTATGTTGGTGATGAATGAACAAGGAATGAATGTGAGGACAAATATGATCATTTTACAGCTGATTTTTGGGGAAGTCTTAGACTTTCATGAGAATAAAGGTTAATATTCTGTTTTGGAGTAAACAGACCAATAATTTAGTAGATGAAACCTTTGTGGGAGAAGTATTTAGAAGGGCTGATAGAGGGAAGAATGTGGGAGCAAAGGAAGGAAAGGAGGAGGTGAGTGATGTGACAAAGGAGAGATGAAGGTAAGATTAGGAAAGAGGGAAGAAGGGACAGAAGAGGAGTTGGCTAGAAGTAGATGGGAAAAGAAAGAAGGAGAAGATGGTTTGAGGAGGCCGGGAACATGGTGAAGAGAGGAGGAGGTAAGGAGGCAGGAAGTGTGTTAAGGCTCTGAACAATGAGTGGTGGCCTGCTGTGTTTGCTGTGCAAGGGAAACTATCCACTGACCTGCTCTACGTTGTTTTTTTTAATTCCCTTCTCTCCTTTCTCTGCCACCGTTTCCTTCCAGGCTGACTCACCGCCGGAGCGCCTGAATACGGGGAGGAGGAGAAGAAGTCGGAGAGAACGAGAGAGCGAAGAAACCTGTGAAGAAGAGAGTGAAAGAGGGGAGTAAGAATAAGAAGAGAAGAGGAGGGGAGCAAGACAGAAGGCAGAGAGAGAAAGTTGGGTTGGGTCAGCGGAGGGAGACGAGGAAAGAGAAAGTGATTGTGGGAAAGAGAGAGGGACACCACAACTCAGTAGGGACCTGAGGTCAGGTGAGAGAAGGCACAGGTAGGTCGGAGGTCGAGACGGAGAGCTGACTGAGCTAACCCTCCAACAACTGCCCCTTCACGGTCACCACACTGGGAGAGCTGGGAGAACTGGTGACAAGGAGAAGCCACCATGAGCGACCAGAACGTCGTCAAGGAAGGCTGGGTCCAGAAAAGAGGTAAGTTTTTCTTTTTTATATTTTTCAAATTTGTTTTCTAAAGAACAAAATTCAGTTTTTTTTCTTTATTTCTATGAAAACACCAAAACCAACAATAAACCTGTCGCTGAGAGTTTTATCTTTGTGTCACAGACATGTCTCCTTCCTCCGTGTCAGGTTCCTTCATCACCACACACACGTATATACACACACACACACACACACACACACACACACTGTAGTTTATGTTGACACCATCCTGCTGCTACAAATACTAGAGGCCAAATGTGGATTCATCCACCGCTGAAAATAGTCCCTAACAAATGCACGGTTTCCTCCTGTTTGATTACAAAACCTTTGTAATTGTGTCCTTTTTAAAAGAATGAACTTTTCAGGAGGAACCAGTCGACTAACACACTGTTGACTCAGATCTTTATTTGATTTGTGGACAATAAAAAAACGTCTTTTTGTTGTGGTTGATACTGCTGCACAGTACGCCTTGTGGTAAACACATTTGTGATTAAGTAAGTTAAATCGTAGGTTGAGAGCTTTGATTAAAGTTTGCTTTCAGTAGGTATTTGAGTCTCCACACAGAGACTAAAATGGACAATGAATTGTCTCTACTCACGGTTAATGTCTGTCAGTTGTCAGTCCTGGATTAGCTTGTATATCTGTGTGATAGATCTCTGTTGTTCACAAAGGATTCAAACACATCAGTAAAACACACTGCTGCACCGGATCAAATGTTTCTTCATTATGAATTCCCTGACCTGACCGTGCTGCCCCAGGTCCTCCGAGCGGCCATTAGTTCCTGAAATTAACGAGTCAGTCAGCTGCACATGCGCGAGATCTTGTGTGAATGCTCTGCTATGTTTACATTAACTGTGAGTAGAGGCTTTAGTCTGCTTCAGTTTCTGTATGAGGAATATTGAAAACACTGTTAATATAGAAAATGAGCGGCCTTATCCTTTTAACCTTTTATTAACAGAAAATTAGCCGACAACAGTCACCAAATGTTCTGGTTCCACCTTCTGTAACGTGAGGAGCTGATGCTTTTCTCTGTCAGACATGAGAATCAGCTGTGGATCTGTTGGTTGGACACAAGATGTAAAGATGCCACCTTTGGCTCTGGAGAGTCACAGTGGGACTTTTCCATTTGTCTGTCACCTATCTGTACCTAAATGTTGTATAGTTGTTGTTAACACCGTGATTACCACTGCCTATCACTTTGAATTTCACCGAGTGACTCTGGTTCAGAATGTACATTGAGGTGATTCATTGAAAGCCTTAGATGAACTCAGGCTAGATGTGCTGACAGAAGTCAGGATGTTAAAGGTATAACATGTTCAGGGCAGTTGAATCGTTTGAACCAGGGTCGTGCCCTCCTGCTACACAGTGCTTTTCTTTACTTTCCCTCAGATGAAGGCGTGAATATGTCCAACATTTTCTTACTGAACAGAAACGATGACATCGACCAGTTCTTGACACACTTCTCCCTTTTTTTTCTCATTTTTCGCTCTGAGGAAGCTGGTTTATTGCAGACATGACAGCTGAACTGAAACATGTTTGTTGTGCTCTGGTCTTTGTGGCTGTCTGTGTTTGTGCTTGTCTCAGTGCTTTTATTTATCTCCGTGTGTTTCTGTGTCTGTCGTGGCTTTGCATTCATCTGGATGGAAAATGAAACACTTTCAGCCACAGATGGCTGCTGCTCTCTGAGGTCCTTCAACCGGTTTCCATTTTTAATTTGAGTCGTTCTTATTCATTTAGTGTTCAGGCGGAGACGTGCGCTTTGTTCAAGAACACTTGAAATCAGATTATTAGCACCACAGCTGTTGAACCTGTGACCATTCTGTTACAGGACTGACTGTCCACACTGAGGTGGATACATCAAAAATATATTTATTAAATAATGTGAAAAATTGCTAGTTGTGTCCCAGTGCGTACTACACACTTAACCTCTGCCGAGGGTGGGGGCTATATTTTTACCAATGTTTGATTGTGAATAACAAAACTCAAAAAAGTAATTGGAGGATTTAGATGAATTTTTTGGAGAAGTAGGGTATGGCCCAGGAAACCAGTGCTTTGATTTTGGTGCCGAACCATGTCAAAATTTGGATACCTTAACCAGAACCACTACTTGCCTAACCCTAACCCTGACCCTAACCTTAACCTAACCCTAACCTCATCCTAACCCTAAACCATGTTGCCACCCTAAAATTCAATTTCTTGCCCATGGGGACCTCAATTTAGGTCCTCACCGTGAAATGGGTCCTCATGAGTTGGTATGGAGTCAGGGAGAAGTCCCCACGTAGAAGGAAAAACACGTCCACACACACACACCTGAGCAGAGGTGTGAAGGATCACTCCATAGTTCAACAATCAGCCAGTAACGGTGCCTGTATGACTGTTGAACAAGCAGAACACAGACTTGCAGAAATGCGGCGTCTTCACCACTTTGTCCCTGTCTTCCACGCACGAGGTCCCTGTTTTACCACAAAAACAATGAGTGGATGTCTGTCATGTTGATCCTTTTTCTTGAATAACTTTGAATTTGCTAATGACATCGGCGTCACTCCACATGCCAGCAGGAGGTTTTCATGGTCAAGCAATCATGTGTAGGTCAAACTAAGGATATTATAAGGATAAGGAGTCCCGTCTACTTACACTATAGTTCTGTCTTTTCAGACCTGCAATCTTGTTGCCGTTTGAGAATTGAAATGAAAACTAATACACCACCATGAACAGTCTGAGTTATTGTAGGTTTGAGTTGTTCAAGTGCAGCAGTCTAGTCTTTAAAACGTACATAAAAATGCTGCAGATGAAGTAAATTGACCTGCTTGGTGTGTGTCTCTCTGTGCTAATCTAAAAAACTGAACATTATGAATCTTGTGTTATTTCTCCACCAGAAAGAGGCTTTTACATGCGCGCACACGCCACAGTGGGTTTGGTTTTTTATCTGACTTAAGTTTGTGGGGCTGGTTTGAGAAGAACTTGATATGAAATCCTCAACTTTCTGTATAAATTGATGCCAATCAAATGGTGACATTGGAGTCCTTTTGCCAGTTAAACTTAGTAAGGATGAAGATTTAAAACGTCCAGAGCTATGATCATCTACTGTTTTCATCTTTAGCACCTGTGAGTGTGTTCTCATTTTAGTGTCCATGAACAGAACACACAAACTTTAGGTGCACAATTTACATCTTCACGGCGTGCAACATGCTAATATTGTTTCCCATCTTAATTTTATTACACACACACACACACACACACACACCAGTTTGTTGCTCCCTCCAGGTGTTTCATGGTATATGATAATGATTAATCGGGGTGTATGTGCAAGTGGCACTGGTGCGCCTACTTATAAAATTTTGTTGGGTTGTTGCTAAAAACAGTCACTAAATGCTGGCAGTCTGGAGCCCTGCGAGCACATAGCAGTGTTTTCACATGCATCCACTCTGAAAGGTGCTTAGGAAGAACATGGTTTTTCATTGTTGTAAACAGAGGTTTCAGTCAGAAAAGCTGTGTTTACCCAGTGTGGACATGTCCTCAGCCCTGCTGCTAGTTTGAAGACCAGCACCTCCAAACACTCAAAACATTAGCTGTTTACCTGCCAGCCGGCGAGCAGAGAGGCAGGCCATGCTGGGCTGCAGCCCGCTCTGAGCCACACTTGACTGGCATGTTGTTTCCCACACTGGTTTGTGTGTGTGTGTGTGTGTGCTGGAGGTGTGTTGGTCTGAGCTCGGGGCGGTTGGTTGGCAGGCAGGGGGAAGTTTCTCTGTGGCACTATGAGCACACAGAGGATGACCTAACACTCTGGTTCCTTCCTCTGCAGCCTCCTCAAGTCCCTGAATTGTTTATTGCACCTCTGTGTGCTCTTATAATTCAGCCTACTGGTTGGAGGGAAACTGCCCTGAGCTGCTCTGTGCGCTCTTTAGGATCAAAACCCAGAGTTCATGCACCGTTCAGGACAGTTTGGAAACTGGGGTTTTGAACTGAATTTGTGAAAGCTTCAAGTAAGGCAGAAAGAAAACCGTTTTAAACTGTGGGACAACACAGTTGTTCTTAAGGGCAGATTTTATGCCAGCAGAGACTCTGCAGTTTTAAGCTGTTCATGTTAGAAATGCTATTTAAATGACTGTTCACATGGACCTGGGTCAGTGATGTGAGCCAACCAAGTTTGTCCGGTGGATGAAAGACCTCTTGAAATAGCTTTTTATTTTAATGTGATGTATTTTCTGTGAAACAGGACAGTGACTGTGACATAACTCAGTGAGGAATCGCTTTAAACTGAGCGGATAACACAACAGGATGATTCAGATGGTCAAACATAATGTAAATACTCTGAAAATGCAGTAACTTTGCTCCAGTTCTAATGATGCTAGACCAATATGTCAATAATCTGACCTACACAAAATAAATCACCAGTTTTGATGACTCGTTACTTGGCTCATCGACCCTGCAGCTTTCTGGTGAGCAGCCTGCTTTTCTGACACTGCTGTTCATCAGACAAAACAAGACTTTGACATTTGGCTCCTGATGGGCATTTTTCATTATGTTCTGATATTGGAACCTAATGAGATTAGTAGAACGTGGTCAAAAATATACAGACAGTGACAAACTGAAGGACGACCCAACACAGAGTCCCTTCATTTTCAAGTTAACCTGCAGCTCAGGTGATTTAGTGACGGTGTGTTACCTGTGAGAGCTCCTTCTTACCCTCCATTAGAAGCAGTTGTCTCACTGTCAGGGCGATCTGATTTCTGTCTCATGCTGCTGTTCTGTGTGAGCCATCAGATGTGAGAATAGTTTCGTCAGAGATTGATTTGTTGTTTAGATGTTGAGGCGGTTCACTGGATCAGTGGTTCCAGCGCCTTGTTGTGCTTTAGCTCTGGTGCTAATATGACTCCGTAAGATGTCAGCATCTCACCAAAACATACTCGTGTATTCCAACATTTGCTGTAATTCTGTCTCAATCTGGTGAGTCAGAACAGCAGGGGACCAGCACTTCATGGGCACTGTGTTTAAATAAGCACTGTGTTCATGCAGGATTTATCATCAAAAGGTTTCTTTCTTCAGCTCGAAGTGGAGCACATGGCTGAATTTGGGTTAAAACTAAACCTTGTAACAAAAAGCTGGTGACAATAAAGAATAAAGTCTCAGAATCACTGCCTAGATCTTGATCTCTTTCAGTAATTCCAAAAGGTGTTGTGTTCATCGGCGTCTGTTTCTCTGGTTGGAAACACACCACATAGGTTTGTACATGGGATTAAGAACTGGGACATTATCTTCCTGTATTAGGACCAATCAATCCGAGCAGCTGTACAGCTTGTTGTTAGTCGACCTTCTGAAAGAACAATCCTCAAATTGGCACCCTTCTTTGAATGATGTGGAAAAACTACGTGTGCTGCTCTGATGCAGCCAGTAGCACAGTTTTTATCTGCATGACGAGCACCTCGGTCACTGCTGATGTTTAGGGCCCAACACTCCCCCAGACAGAAAACCACTAACATGGACGCTGAATAACAACATGACATTAAATGACAGTAAAGTCTGAATATTTGGCTCTTCCTCCACACTTTTGTAGACTTGAATGCATGAAGAGCTGAAGAGAAGCGAGTGCAGCAGGATGTACCCTGATGGTGTCACTCTTTCTCTGCAGGTGAGTACATCAAGAACTGGCGACCGCGCTACTTCCTGCTGCAGACAGAGCCGCTTTTTGTGGCGACACAAAGAAAAAGGCCCCAAGACTCTGACCTGGCCTACCCGCTCAACAACTTCTCTGTAGCAAGTGAGACACAAAGAGTTCATTGTGTATTTTAGAGACTAAAAACAAACTGTGTCTCTGTGACGCTTTGTCTTTCTGTTTCCGTGTGGCTACCAGAATGTCAGCTGATGAAGACGGAGCGGCCCAAGCCGAACACCTTCATCATCCGCTGTCTGCAGTGGACCACCGTTATTGAGAGGACTTTTCACGTTGACACTCCTGATGAGAGGTAGGCCTTCGTCCTCCTCTTCCTCCTCAGCAGGTCTTTTTACACACAAGTCAGATTGGTCTGGGGGTTGTATTCATTTGACAGACAGGTGTAATTTGGCTTTATTAGCTTTAGTTATTGGTCAGTGGTTTTCTATGACACTTCTAAAGAATAAAACGATTTGTAAATGGTGTTATAATTCAAAACTATCCATCCATGGTTCAAATTCAAAACCCAATATTTGAACTGCCGTTTGCTGCTGTGTGGGACAGCAGCATCGGTGACACTAGCAAACTGAACAGACTGATCAGGAAGGCTGGCTCTATGCTGGGGACATCTCTGGGGGTGGTGGAGAGGAGGATGCTGGACAGAACTCACACCCCACCTCACATTGGCCAAGCAGTGGGGCACTTTCAAGCTTGATGAATGGTTTTATGTTGAATCTATGCCATAGCCTGACCCACACCTTTCCGGAAATGGAACTAAGTCAAATCAAATTTTATTTGTATAGTGTCAAATCACAACAAAAGCCATCTCGGGACACTTGACAAAGTCAGGTCTAGACCTTACTATTATCACAGAGGGAAAACCCAACAAATCCTCCTTGAGGCAGCACTTGGCAACAGTGGGGAGGAAAAACTCCTGCATGTCTTGGTGACGGAGATTGCAACAACTGTGATTGGTTGCATTGCATTTCCTCGTTCATGTGTCTGTGGCTGAACAAGCACAGAAAATCCCGCCTTGTTCTGTCTCAGTTGGTCCGATAGAGACCGTCTCCTCCCACGTCCTCTGGCAGTATTTTCGGTCAAAGTAACTGCTGTTCCACATCTTTTAGTTTTAACTAAGCTCCAGTCTCCGAGGCTGAGAAATGAAGCCAAAACCTACAGTTCCTTGAACGGCCACTAGAGGCTGGCTCCACAAGGGAGTCAGTCCCCATAAACTCCCACTTTAAAATGCCAAACTTTACAGCAGAAATAAACATGTTTACAGTCTGCTACAAAAACAGTTTGGGTCTCTATAGCTAATTTCCCCTCCCATGACAACTGTATGGGGGTGAATTTATTTTAAAACTTACCTGTTTAAATTATATTGAGACTAAAAAGTTAGTGATTAAGGGCGTGGCCACTTTGATAAGTGGGAGGACCCCGCCATAGGTGGCTGGCCTCTAGCTGTCTAGCGAGCTCCGCCTCTTTGCCCATTTTTGGATTAGCTGTAGCAGGCGGAGTGAAGTGCCACCAATATGGCGATGACCAGACCATTCTTCAGAAAACCAGTGGCTGACGGTGCAGTAGGCTTGTCCAGTTTTTGTTTTTTATTATATACATTCAGTGGTTTTAACTCCAGCATGACCGGCTTAGTTTCAATCACCACTATTAGTAAGTGGCAAAGAAACGCAGCACAGTGGCATAGACACGTCACTGCCAACTAGTGCTTAGGTGGTGTAATTGCAGGGCGGCAGACACACCAGGCACATAAATGCTCACAATGGCATACGTCACATAGCCTATGGTGTGAGCCCTATGTAGATTCAACGCAGTACCATAAATCGAGCTTCAGCCAGAGACTGGTTCAGCTCTGCTGTGATAAAGAACATTACAGGAAGTTCCTCCTCCCAACAGCCATAACGCTTTGCAGTTACTCTCCACTGTGTCGAGAGAGAGGTCTCCTCCTCTGACTACATACACTACATTATAAAAACAAAATAAAGTCTCCGGTTCTCAGTCCGGAGCCACACTGGAGGGTTTCTGTGTTAAATTGTTCTCACTGGACCCAACAGGAGTCATTCAACACTGTGAGAAGAAAGACAGGATACTGGGGTGTGGGGCTTCTACAGGCCCTGTAAAATAAAGTGTTAGTGTGGGAGGGTGTAGTTTAATTTGGCAGTCTGTCAGAAATATGGAAACACGCTCCTCTTAACATCTCTGATTTGTAGTTGGTCTAAAGCTGGAGCCACACTTACAGGAAACCTGACAATAAAAGAATAAATATGATCTCTGCTAGTAATTTAACTCCTTGTTGTATTCTGTAGGGACGAGTGGGCCGAGGCCATCCAGATGGTAGCGGAGTCACTGGCCAAGCAGGAGGAGGAGGGCATCCTGTGCAGTCCCACCTCCCAGACCGAGAACGTCAATGAGGAGGAGATGGACACCTCCATCAGCCACTACAAACGAAAGGTGACAGATCACACCAGTCAACTTGTCTGTAATCAGACAAGTCCTGACTGGCTGTTGCTATTTCTCCTGGGAAAGTAAAGTCTTTTTACCTTAAAGATGAGCTTTTACTAATTATAGAGGTAGTAATATATTACTATACAGTATATAAATTGTACTTCTTATCTTCCTCTATGCTTCCTCTACACACAACCCCTGTCTGGTCTCCTGCAAGAATACAAAATGTGCCATTTGGATAAACTACCACTTTTCTAATTATTAAAACCTTGTTGAATTCAGTTTTTAAAAATCAACCTAAAACACCTGATCATTTTTGTTTTACTGTTGATGTATTTTTCTTCTTTCTGTGTGTAACTAGTGAGATGTAGGTACTGTAGTACTACACTGTGTCTGGATATTTTCAGCAGTCACTCTGGGGTCTGAAAGCAAAGTGTTTCAGCTAATGTTGGAGCTTCTTGCCGTGCACCATCCAGCCTTTCTAAGCATAGACACATAATGCTCCTGCTTCCAGGTATTACATGTTGGAAAGCCAGCGTCTTCATGCGCCTTCTCTGTTTCTTTGTTCAGACAATGAACGACTTTGACTATCTGAAGCTTCTGGGCAAAGGCACTTTTGGGAAAGTCATTCTGGTGAGGGAGAAGGCGAGCGGCACCTACTACGCCATGAAGATCCTGAAGAAGGAAGTTATTATTGCCAAGGTCCTTTTAATGTTTATCACCTTTTTATTTGCTGTTGTTTTGCCGACTGGTGCAGTAACCACCACTAAGCAGTCTTTATATGTAGAAACGGCAAAAATCTAATCGTTTTTCTTCTTTGATATCTACTATTTGGTATTTTAGCCTACTATCAGCCTGAGTGTCACATATTCCCTCCAGTTCCTCTACATCCTCAGTCCTTTGACATAAACCTTCTGTGGCCAAGCTCCTTGATGTCTTGACTTAACATCTTGCCTCTTTCCTTTTTTATCACAGGATGAAGTTGCTCACACACTCACAGAAAGTAGGGTATTAAAGAACACTCGACATCCGTTCCTAACTGTGAGTATCACTGTGCAGGTTGTGTGACGTACTACACGCAGACACACCTGTGCTGTGTTAGGATGAACCCGCCCCGCAGAAGCTGTGTTCACCAACTTCACTTGAGGCTTGTTTGACAAGTGTCAAGGAGCCACTGACTTCAGACCACAAAGCTTCTTTTCTTAAAAACTGAGCACTGCTGAGCTAACAAGCACTATGTATATCTTGTGTTGCAGTCTCTGAAGTACTCGTTCCAGACTAAGGACCGGCTGTGCTTTGTAATGGAGTACGTCAACGGAGGCGAGGTGAGAGGCAACGAATCACTTTAAAACACATTTTTGATGCTGATAGATGTTCTGTCTTCTTTGAACATGAAAGTTATTTGAAGATTTATGGAACAATGTTGAACAAGCACGTCCATTTCAAAGGCTTGGCTCAGCAGCAGCATGAGCATGGTAATGGTGAGCTTGTAGGTTGTAATGACTACACTGAACACCTGCATGACTCTGATTGGACGTTACTGGTCCGCTGGTTGCCACTCAGCTGTGAATGAGCCAGTGGTGATGATGCATGCATGACGCCACTAATGGCAGTCAGCTGATGTGAGTGCGTCTCCAGTGTGTTTTACCTTGAAATGTTTCTATTTAGAGATCAATTGACTCTATACTTTTGCATTATGTTCGCTGCAGGGGAGGTGTTGAAAAGATGCATAAGCTCTTAAAATGCAAATCTGACCTGTTTGGTGCAAAGCAGCAGGCTGGTATTTATAATCCTTAGGAACTGTTGAAGACGATGTGTGAGTTCTTCATTGTTGGGTTTGTTTATTCATACAAGCAGCCAGTCGCTCCAACATATTTCTTTAATCTGCTGGTTGTATATCAGGTGACCTTCTCTGTGTTTGGATGAGGATTCAGACTGATTCCACATCGAATGTTTGAAATATTTTCATTATCAGACAGACATTTCTTTATCCGCTGTATCCAAACCTCATGCTCTGCAGCTGACTATAACTGAGTGTATTGTTCCACCTCTCAGCCCCTCAACCCATCCACTGCAGTAATTTTGATCTTTTCTTCTTGTTTTTACTGGATAAATTAACTTGATATGATAAAGAGGTCTGAGGTATATAAATATGTTCTTCTTATCTTGGCAGCTGTTCTTCCACTTATCAAGGGAAAGGGTTTTTTCTGAGGACCGCACTCGTTTCTATGGCGGTGAGATCGTCTCAGCTCTCGACTACCTACATTCTGCCAAGATCGTGTACCGGGACCTGAAGGTAAACTACACCTGCTCTGGATGTCATCTGAGGATAGTCCAGGATCAGACAACTGTGCAAGTTCAGTGTTGTTGCCTGAACATACAGATGACACAGGAGTTTTAGAGATATATAAAAGCCACCATGTCAGAGAGGGAAAATGGCTTCTGACCTAAACACACTGGCTCTCACCCCAAGCCAAGAAGCAGCAAACCTTGGACTGATTTTTATGCCTCTATGTCAGCGACAGCTGTGGCTGGAGGCATAATGTTTCCAGGTTGTCTGCCGATTACATTCTGGTGGTCAAAGGTCAAGGTCACTGTGACCTTGCGTCCTACCCATAATATATGGTTAGTGGAGGCACACAGTTGTGAGGCAGTAATTTAATTCCAAAGCTCTTGTGCAGTGTGTCACAAAAACATTTATCATTTGAAGAATATTTCTTAAATAAAATATTTCTCTCTCAGCTATAACTAGCCGGCGACACTACTGTCACACTTGACTCTCAGGTCGACCAAAGACCAAAAATAAATCGGCCAACATTAATCCAGTATTTTGCTGTACGAATGCTGACCAGAAGCAGAGCAGAGGAGCTGGCTTTCACACTGATTTTAAAGTTCTTCTGCTGATCCATAAGGCAATAATTGGTCTTGCACTGTTCACAGTTGTTCTGTTATCAGCTTGTCATTCGTCTGTAAAGCACTTTGAAATGCAGGACCTTGTACTAACGGTGCTATACAAACAAAGTCTGACTGACTGAGAAACACAGCCAGGGTTGTGACTTCTCTTGTGATCCTCTTCAGCTGGAGAACCTCATGTTGGACAAAGATGGCCACATCAAGATCACTGACTTTGGCCTCTGCAAAGAAGGCATCACCGACACTGCCACCATGAAGACCTTCTGTGGAACACCGGAGTACCTGGCTCCAGAGGTCAGAGGTCACACCAAACACGGATGATTAGTTAGGTTTCTGGTTTTGGAAGTTGGTGAAATACATCATTTACAACCAGTAAAGTAAAGTAAGACTGAGAGCTGTGCCTGAGACGAATCTAAACCCAAACTTAGCCTTGGAATCTTCTGTGTTTGCCCCATGTGATGAAACCATGAGAGAAACTGTTTTGGTTGAGTGTTAAAACCAAAGTGGAAGTTCCTCTAAGCTGCACTTCCTCCAGTGGCAGCTGAATGTTTCCTTTACTACAAAGTAAAATGTCAGTGACTAGTTTCACTTCTTCTAATGTGGAGCGTGGTGGAGGTTTTGGAGGTTATTTTTCCATTGGGAGGATATGAAAGAGGACATCGATATGTCAGAAACGGTTGCATAAGAAAGAAAACGGAGGTTATGTTGAATTGTTACAATGGCCCTTTGAGTTTTGGGAGGTCAGTAAAACTGCTCATACATATAATTTATTTCATTTTTTTTAACAGACGGTTCAGTGATATAAGTAGTTTTTAGAGGAAATCAATGAAAAGACCATGAACACTAAGGTAAAGTGGTTCTGTGCATATTGTGTGTCAGCAGGTGTTGGAGGACAACGACTACGGGCGGGCGGTGGACTGGTGGGGTTTAGGCGTGGTGACGTACGAGATGATGTGCGGCCGCCTGCCGTTCTACAACCAGGACCATGAGAAGCTGTTTGAGCTGATTCTCATGGAGGAGATCAAGTTCCCACGAACCCTGTCGGCTGACGCCAAGTCGCTGCTGTCAGGCCTGCTCATCAAGGACCCCAACAAACGGTACACATGGATAATGTGGAGACGTACGCTTCTCCAATAGCTGCATGATGCCTTAGATAAAAGGCCATGAAAGGAAGCAAAGTGTTGGCCGACCAAGGCCCGCTGGAAAGACGTGGTAGGTGGCTGCTGGCAAGCAAATGTGGATATAAACAGTTTGGGTTTTTAAACCAGGATTCCTCTTTAGAAACACTGTGTGATAAAGGAAATGTGTTTAACACATTTGATCGACAATAAACGCAGGCTGTGGCTCAGGAGGTAGAGCGGGTTGTCTCCTAACCATAGTGTCGGCGGATTGGTCCCCGGCTTCGTGGCCATGTGTCGTGTCCTTGAACAAGACACCCAACCCTAAGTTGCCCCCCGGTGATGTCTTCAGTGTGTGAACTTGTTTGTGTGTGAATGGGAAATGGTGTAAAGAACTTCAAGAGTGTTTCAATCCACAGAAAAGTGTTGGGGTTAGTGAGTACAAGACGTTAGTGGGTACAACCACAGCGCCCCCTGTTGGAGTCGGGTCAGCGACCTTTCTGCATGTCCTTCCCTATCGTCATCTCCCCTCATTTCCTGTCATGTTATTAAAAAGTTAACAGGCAAAGTTGGCAGAAGTATTTGAGAGAGAGAGAGAGAGAGAGGGAGATGATCAGATGACCAGATCCACGATCCGGGTCATACCTCACTGGCTTGAATGTACCCAGGGTTATTATCCATCTGGAGCTAATTAAACTGGCCTAACTTTGGACCCAAATAGTCACAAGATAATAAAATAGGTGCAATGTGTAATATTTACAAAATGTACAGCTTATCAAGTAGAATAACTGACTTACACTGTGTTATAGAGTTAACTGAGATGAAAATGAATTGTTACATTACTGATGTAACAAGAGTTCGACAGCGGAGGCAGTGGGTTGGAGTTCGGTCTGGGGCGTGATGAGACAGTTGACGTTTGTATTGTGGTTTTGGTCTTTGTTTCCGTTAAAGCCCTACCAGGTGTGAAGTCTATTAGTAGTACAGCCTGATTCAATCAAAGCCTGAGAGAACATGTTTTGACTGTGTGTGTGGCAGCAGCCTTCTCTCCGTGAGGATGCCACGTTGTTCCCAGGCCTCCAGCTCAGATCCCTGTGGTTTACTGTAAATGAAATAGCTGAAGATGCAGGAAGGAAATCTGTGGCCTGGAAGGGTCGTGTTTCATAATCACAGGACAGGAAATAAAGTCGATTTATTCCATAGTGTCCTGTACTCGCCTACATTTGCCAGCTCTTCACTATTGAAGCAGCCAGTTAAGGTGGTGATCCCCGCTGCGTTTTCTGTCTCAAACCAAGAACACGGTGAAATGAGGCGACTGCAGCTTCACAGAACAAACTCATCCCAGAAAGTTATTTTGGGATCAGTAGCAGGTGGATATTGTGGATCCATTGATGGAGACATTGTCAAAGCAGTGTTTGATCTCTCACCCGGATGTCTTCTTCCTCTCTCTCTGCTCGCTGACAGGCTCGGCGGCGGGCCGGATGACGCTAAGGAGATCATGCGACACAGTTTCTTTGGCACAATCGACTGGCAGGATGTCTACGACAAGAAGGTGAGAGCAGCATTTAGCTGTGAGACGTCATCTCATCTTCAGTGGTAATGTATTCAATCAGCCTACCTGAGATATTCTGGTAACAGGGTTACCTGATTTTACAAAATGTAAACTCCAAAATAGAACAGAGAAGAAACTGTATCTCCTTTCAGCAACATGATGCAGTCCACACACCACCATCTCCCTTTACTAGACATGATCTGAAGAACTTCCTAGATATTTAGAGGAGAAGGACAGCAAGCCCAACGTCACCAGACAGACTTGAATAAGAAAACCAAAGACAAGGAAACAAATGCCCTAAATGTAATAAAACCAATGAATGTTACATGTGCTTGACCTATACAAAGTTTACATCCAAAGTCTCGACCTTTAAAGGAAAATTCAGACCATAGTCTGAGGAGGGACCCTCCTCTCTGGTAAAGGGTTGTAGCAGCTGGTGCCAGTCTAATGGATATATTCATCCTGCATAATATTTTTTAATCCTTTCATAGTCCTGTTGCAGAAAGAAAATGCAGCTCACTGACCTTCCTGTCTGTTCCAGCTGGTCCCGCCTTTCCAGCCCCAGGTCAGCTCAGAGACGGACACGCGCTACTTCGACGAGGAGTTCACAGCACAGACCATCACCATCACTCCTCCAGAAAAATGTAAGCATGTCTAAAACTCTGGGATTTCATGTGATGAAACTGGTGTTTTTCTGAAGAGGTGACATCTTTAATGTGGGAAACAGGGTGATGAAGAGATGATCGATGCTGTGTGGCCTGATATTAAGTGCATCGGCATGCTAACATGCTCACAGTGGCAAAGTTAACATGCTGACGCATGAGGTTTACCATGTTCACCATCGTAGTTTAGCATGTTAGCATGCTAACATTAGCTAATTAGCACTAGACACAATGTAGAGCTGAGGTTAATGGGAATGTCATTAGCTTTGCAGTCAAACCACAGTCTGAGCTGATGAAGGCTCTGAAGGAGAATTCTCAGGACGTCATTCAGTATTTGATCAGCTGTTTCAGTCCGATGGAAAACCTTTTTGTGGTTCAAGACTGTCAAGCTAAAGGTTTCACAGGTTCACTTGGTTCTGAGGAACCTAGGCCCGACCTCTGACCTGTGGCCTGAGTCTCGAGCGTATGAGAGGGAGTGAGGATGAGTTCACTTGGTTCTGAGGAACCTAGGCCGGTCCTGTGACCTGTGACCTGTGGCCTGAGTCCTGAGCGTATGAGAGAGAGTGAGGATGTTTAGCAGGTAAAATTGAGTAAATATAGTAAACACCCAAAGAAACTAGTTTCACATTCATAAATCAAGGTTTCTTAAGGCCTCAGCTTAAGGCTCTGGTGGTATTTAACAATGCACTGATATCGGTACTAGTACCGGGTGTTGGGTCCGATACCACCCCCTATGCTTATACTTGTAAAAGTTGTCCAGTACACACACACCAGTATCACATTATGGCGACATTAAGTCAACTTCACGCCGGTCATTAGGCAGTGGAGAAGAAATTTCGGCAGTTTGGGGATATTGTAAGATAAGAGATGACAACAAGTAAAGCTGACTGATACTCCACCCACACTCAGAAAGTGAAGCTCATGAACATAAAAACAGTCTCTAAAGTCACTGCATCTTTATGGCAATTGTATTTTTTTATAGTAGAAATACTGCACCATTATTAACTTGTTGTAGGCACTCAGTATTGACGAATACTCAATGTAAGTACTCATGTTTGTACATTCAAATAAGAAAACCATATGACTGCTGCTTTTAGTTCAGAGTTGAAAACACATATTCAAAATAAAGCTGTAAAGACATGTCAACAACTTTTGACTCATTTAAATCCTAGATAACCTAACAAACTTTAGCCTGGTAATGGCTGAAGTAGTAAAGAGTATCAGGGTAAAAAAAAAAAAAAAAAAAAAAGCTACACAAACTATTTTCTTTGTCATACATTTGCCATGGCAGTGCACATTCCCCCGGCCCATGGCAATGAAGTCACTGTCTGCGGGTAAAAAGAGAGAAGATGAGTCTGTGTCGTTGCAGTGTTACTACTCTGCCCTTTTTTTTTTTGCGCTTTACTACTGAGTTGTTGTTTTTTATTTTGAAACAGGAAACACTAAACTGCCAGAAACTGCACAGTTCACTCAGGCGCCACAGAGCACAACCGTGTTCAAACTCAGCCAACGGCTCTAGCTTTCCACAGCCGGCAGGGGGACGAGTCCTCTCCCTGCCTTCCCACCGCTTTTCTCTCTCCTGTTTCCTCATTGTGCTGTAGGACTAGTGGATGGATGTTTACACAGGGATACCTGGCTTGATGTATGTGCTGTATGTATGCGGGAAATGGGGGTCAAACTTATGCTGTCATAGCACACACACGTTCATATTTTCACTCAAACAGGAAACCGCTGAGTTTCCCACACTAATCAGACTGGGATTGGCAGTTTTCTCCAAAATAAAATCAGTGTGGGCTTTTTTTCAGATGAGCAGGTGATGTGTTTAACAGCGTGTGTCCGGTGAAGCTGCAGCAGCTCCACACTCAGACGGATTTCTGCAGGATTTGTGAATGTCACAGTTTCAGATTCCACACTTGTGTCAGTCAATATGACCCTACAAGTGATGCATCATGTACATGTGTATGCAAATCACTGCATCGCTTCATGTTGTGGATCTTTGCATGTAGCAAGGGTTAAATCCCGTCCAACACACGGGTTTAAATGATTTGAATGTGTCGTACACAGTGATGATCTGATGTTGCAACAGCTCTGCACCCTTTATTTACTGATGGCCTTAGACTAGTCACACTGAACCACACTGAGTCTAAACACACTGGAAAGCAGCCCGCGGTAATGGAAACTCGCCAAGCTGCAGACTAACCATGGGATGTGACATCGGTGTCCCCAGTGACTTGTTGCCTGCCTGGTGAAGCAAAAGCCCAGCAGGTGATCGCTGACACAAATATTCAAATAAGCTTGTCTTCCCTACTGCGTATTTATGGTGTGTAGTCGTCGCTCCTACTGAACAAGCTGATAGATGTGGAGGTGTTTCTGATCAAGACTGTAGCTGAGGTCCATCAGAAAACTAATTCAAACACGAAATGAAACCAAACTGAACCAGTCGTGTGGTTTCTGGACAGTTTTGTGCTCAGCACTAAAGACAGTTGACACTGGAGGACAGGTCTTCACGGATCCTCCTCCTGCTCTACAAGACCCAGCTTGTGACCCCAGTGGGACCAGATCCCACTTGTAATTAATCCGGTTGGTTAGACTCTACTAGCACAGTACTGCCATGTTTTGGATCAGAGTAAATTCATGGAAGTGTCTGAAGGTTTGTTCTTCTTTTAACCTTGAAACCAGTCTCTATTCCCTGGCACCAGTAAGTCCAGCTTGGATGTCCCAGTTTTATGTAGGACTCTGACTAATGGTCAGTATCGGCACAACGTCAGTGAGTCCTGCCCACTAGTGGCCTGTGAGGTGCACAACACTCAAAGACCTGAAAACCTCTGATTCCTTCAGACGAGCTGACTGAATGGGACATCGATACCGTCACTGCAAAGCTAAACGTGACCTGTGAAAACACATCACATGCTTTGTTTTTGGAGAACACTGCCAACTTGATTTAGAGTCAAAGGCTGAAACCAGTTTCACACACTCTTTGGGGTTCCTGCACACACCTGGAAAGGTTTAGAGAAAGGCCTTAAAAGCTTTTTACAACAGCTGACAAGATTAGAACACTGTTTCCTGATGTCCTCTGGTGTGAGAGCGGTGACACGGTGCAGAGAAACGGCACTGAAACATGACAAACAGCAAGAACAAACATCAGGTCTGCTGACATGTCTGGAAAGGTTGGGATGTTTGAAGCTGTGCAGGAACCCTGATGGCACAGAGAACGGAAACAGAAATATTCACACACAGATATATGAGACTGTTTTTAGATGATAAATCAGAGTAAAAAAAAAACTTTTATTTATCACAGACGCTAACGCTTCCAGCTCCAGACACGGAGCTCTGTCCCTGTGTGTCCTGTCAGTAATATGAGAAAAATGAATTTATAAACAAACATTTTTAAGAAGAATCTGAACCGAGGGTATCGGTAAATCATAAATCATGTCCCAGACCATGAGATAACTGAGCCATGAGAAACTCATGTACGAAGACTGAGGACTGCCAGAAAAAGTCACCCCCAACGTCTTGATGTAAATATGCAATGCCTTTTTTTTCCTCGTTAGCGGCATCTGGCCAGATGAGAAACGTTTTTCTTTTGACTGTACTTCAAATTTGCTGAAGAGAATAGTGACTGAAAAAAGCACCACAAACGACTCAAACTGCGTTTAAAAGAAGGAAAAATAAAGACTGTCAGAGAACGGACCTTTCTACTGCCCCCCCCATCTGTGGAGGATGTTTCCATGGAAACAAATCTCCCTTCACCGTGGATCCTGAAGACTGACTCCCAAAATTTCCTGAGGATGTGACTGTAACTGTGGACTCTGCACTATTGTTCTTGTTCACCCTCGTTAGAAAGAAACGCAACGCAGGACCATGGCTTGACGTTGTCTATTTATTATATTTTTTTGCAGTGATAGTTTCATCTAGTTGTTCCAATCCCATCATCCCTAGCTGCTCCTCCTCCTCCCTGTCATTTTGCACCATAGTCTTTGTCATTCTAGGCAGTGTTACCTTGTATGTCATTAAAAAGCACCTCTTACGAGTCGCTGAGGGATGATGATGATGATGATGAACGACGCATTAACTGAAGTCTGTTTTTTTTTGTTGTTTCTTTTCTTTTTGTATCATTTGCTTGTTTGTTTTCTTACCAAAACATGAGGGCAAGAACCCAGTGGTGGACTTGCATTGCCGTGGTAGTATTTATTTTGAATTAAATTAAAAGAAACACATTTCAGGGTTTCTGCTGTTGTGACTCTTTTAATTTCAGCCTTGAACAAATCTTTTCCTGCCTTCAGAGCCAGAGCTTCTGGTTTAAAGTCACAAAATAAAGTCCTTTCCAGAGCAGATTTGACAACACAAAGCTTCACATCCACAACAGAAATGAAGAACGGGACTTCAACACAGGTTTTTTTTTTTTTTAAACAATGTACGATGTTTACTTTGTGTTAGTTTTTTCCCAAAGCGTACCACTGGGGATGTGAGGACGGACTGGGAATAATTTTACAATGTGAACTTATTTTGCTATAGAAATAGAAAAAGAATTCTATATCTTAGAAGGGAAAAAACTTTTTCTGCCATTGAACAAAGACAAAAGTTCTCAAATGTTAACTGTTACCTAAACACAAGCACTTGTACAAGAACCTAATAAAGTACATGTTTGATTTAAACCAGGAAGGGCTGCATTTAATTAATAGTCCCATTTTTGTTAGTCTGCCACTTATCTTTTTTATTCATCATTTAGTCTATTGTGTGAAATTATGGGACAAAATAAGGCCCATCAGGTGCTCACACACCAAGGTAACATCTTCAAACTGCTCATTTTTATCTACAACCCAAAGGAAAGCAGCAAATCTTCACACTTGTGAAGCTGTAACCAGAGAACATGTGCTTGAGAAGTGACTGAAATGTGAATCACTACCACAATAGCAGTTGCCAACATCAAAACACTCATGTTTACCACAAAAGTACTGCAGTTTCACACGTCCCTAAACTCCATAGAGAGTTAAGCATTTAAATGTGAAGTTATTTTCCAAAATGAAGTTAGTTTCACTTCATTTTGCTATGAAAATTAGCAGTAAGTTAATATTAGATCATGTTGAACATGTCTGCTTTGTCAGCTGCATTAAAATGGTGCATTCAGGAACCACGCTAATGTTAGCATGCAGACATACCGACTGCTAACATGGTAACTCTGAGCACGTTTATTTTAAATGCTCGTTTGTTGCCGAGTTAGATGATGACAGATCTGGAGTCAGGCTATTCTTAGTTTAGTTTAGCTTATCATGCAAACTGGAAGCGGGGGAAACAGTGAGCTTATGTCCAAAGCTCAAGTTGTACCTTATTAGTTTAATTTATACACAAACAGAAATGTAAGACTAGGTCTGATTTTTATGGACGGTTATAAGCTGGAAGAGTTTCTTGGCGTAGAGCTGCCATCGCTGTGATACGCTCCACAGAAACACTGAATGGACAATGACAAAGTTGGTTTGTTAATCGCCTCCTGACTTTGTACTTAACACACAGACATGAGACTGGGGTCAACCGTCTTGTCCGACTCTCGCCAAGAATGTGAAAAAAACACATCTCCCAAAATTCCAACCGTCCCCTTTAATATCAGGCTTGAAGTGCAGCTGAGGCCGACAAAGTACAGTGAAGTCTGGCGATCTGAGTGTGACAGGCCTTAGAATTTCCACAGGGATTTAACAACTTGGTCCCTGTTTGGCACCACACTCGACAAACTTTACAGGCTTTTCCACAAAGTTGTCTGAAGAAATAATTCTGCTGTAATGACCATTAGTGCTTCATGCGGCTGCTGTAGATTTGAAGTCTTATTACAAAATGGTTTGCCTAAACAGAAAAAGGCCACTAAAATGTGTTATCAAAAATGTTCTGTGACCCAACTGAAGATGGTCAGGTTTGACCTTCAATTAAAAAAAATAAATAAATAAAAAGATCAGACTTCACAAAGCAGCCTGCAGCTCTGTGGGGCTCAACTTCATGGTTTTCAATCTTGGAACCAGGGTGACAGTTGGTGTAGCATCCACCTGTGGATGGATGAGGGTCCTCACTGAGGTCGAACCTGTGGCCTCACATCCAGGGCAAGTCCAGCGTTCACTCTGGTATGGCAGGAGGCCAGTCCACATCCACAGACTGGGGAGGAAACAACAAGTTATGCTCAGTGGTAACACAATTTAACATAACTTTGCTCTATAAAGGTGCAGTAACTAAGATTTTGTATATTGTCTGATGACCCCAGTGACAGTGGGACAGGACATGGTGTCTCTCAGCTACACCCCCCCCTCCATGACCCTCTGCTGCCTACAGCCTCCTGTTGTTAGAGCAGCTTCTGGTGTCAGTTTGTTTGAATCTCACTTGACCCTCTAATCTGATGGAGTAGCTTTAGCTTTGTAAAAAGTTTTTGTTGTGCAAAGATCTGATGAAGTCGATCTGTTTCAGGACAGCGGAGGTTGTGACAGTCAAAGGTCACTGCTAAAGTATGACGAGAGACTCTGCTCTCGCATAAAATACTAAAGGGGTGACATTTCTGATTGAAGCAGAGTTCCTGTGGTACCTCCACATCCAGCTCCAGGATGTCAGTGTCTGTCTTCAGCAGCTGGCACAAGTTGGGTTTGGTGCGACCAAAGTCTCCGTGGACAAACTCCTTGATGTAACTGGTGGATGAGGTTAAGGAGCCTTTTACAGTACAGGTACAGAAATCTAACTAAATATAGCCAGTAACGGTATAAATGGTGGAATAACAATTAATGCCTATTTAGCTACACAATACACCTGATTAATAATCTGTTACATTTCAGTATCAGATCAATAAAACAAAATAATCATCAGACTCTATTGATCCCAGTGGGAATTTAACCAGCTACCCAGCAGGATGTAAAGTACTTCACAGTACAAGTGTATAAGGTAGTTAATGTGACGTGTGGTCACGTTTGTTTTTGCTACTTGAAGTATATTATCATGTTAATATTTTTAAGTAAAACAATGTGAGCGTAGGACTTTTAACAGTATTTTGTGGTATTGCTACTTCTTCCACTACTGGATCAAACTTCCTCTTGTTGATGCAATGACTGAGTGATGTGTCTGTAGCTGTGGTGGGAGGATACGTCCCGGCCTGCGTCTTCAGTCCCAGGTAGAAGTGATGTGGGTCCAGGAAGCGGGCGTTCATGCTGTGGATGACTCGCGGTCGGACGGCCAGCGCCCGGCGGTGCAGAACCCTCAGGGGAGTCTTCTGGTCCACAGTGAGATCCTGGTGACACAGACATCAGCTGCACTGCTGATTTTCTGGTTTGATCTTTGTCCAGTCAGTAGGACACTTTGTCTAATAATATGAATCGTTCCTGCCGCAGCATAGTGTCAGTCAACATGTCAGCTGACTGTAAGTCGACCTCAGGTTTATTCAGGGAGGATCAGTGTTCAGCCTACAGACGTGTGCATGTGTGTGTGTGTGTGTGCTTTGTAGTGACCTTGATGTCGTCGATGAAGGTGATGTCCTCTCTCTGAATGGGTTTTTGGGTCCAGATCAGTGCCGTGTACGACTTGGTTTTCTCCTCCTCGCCCTCCTTCATCCGACTCATGGCCTGTCTGCAGTTTAACACACACACACACACACACACACTACAGCTGTAATATTATTACATTAATAGACATTATACAACAGCACTGTATCATGTAATGATGTCGGCCATGAGATTCTCTAGTACTGTAATACCGCTACATAGAACAGTCAAAACATTATTATTCATCGATTATTAGTCAATAATCGTATAAACGATGTAATAAAGGGTAGATGCAGTTTAACACAGCGTACTTTTACTTTTACTTTTATGGTTTCATCGTTCTCACCTGGTCACAATCTGCAGGTCTCTCACTCTGATTTTGTCTGAAGACTTATTAATGGTCTAAAAACGACAAAAGATGAGTTAACCAGACTGAAAACATGATGTGCACGTGTGGCCTCCTCTGTCTGCTTTCACTAGTCAGGTCCCCAGTGGATCAATCTAAATACTGTCGTTCACTGACTTACTAACATCTATGTGTCGGGTTGTCATAACATCTGAGCAGATAATTCATTCTTGTTTTTGCTGTGAGGGAAAAGACCCAGGTTGGATTCAGAGCATGAATGTGCTCTTTAAATTTCATGGCAATCACCTGCCACATTATGAAAACTGCTGTGTACAGACTTAATGTTTTGGCGTGTGCTGGAGAAACACCAGCATCACAGATCTGTCCTGAGAAAATCCCTCAGTGAGCATCACTGTGAAGCGTCACTGTCGTCTTTTACGCATGTGAAGCCTGTGGACGTGAACAGCCAGCACCTCCTGCAACTGCTTCATCTCTGCTCTGTTGAATCTGGATCTGTGAGGATTCAGCAGCTCCATCGCAAACGGACGACCTGCCAAATGCAGCCAGAACAGAGAATGAAAAACATTTCAGGTGACACAGTCCTATGCAAGCGCAGACTGTAGATACGTCGGCTCTCACCATTTCCAAGGGTGCGGACATCCACATCCTCCCTGCCAGATGAGGAGAAGTTAAAACCTGAAACAAACAACAAAAGCAGGGTTATCAGAACACACTCAAGGTCATTTTACTGTCCAACATGTTCTGCAGCAGTGCGACCTCCCGCGGTCCTGTCTATCCATAGTACAAACCTTTTCCAGAGAAGCTCCAGGAGGGAGTTAGAGACTGAACTCACCGTCAGCTCTGAAGGCAGCCAGGAGAGGCGCTGCGATCAGCTCCTCCACCGAGGACTCCATCCTCCTCTCTCCATCGATCACCCAGGGCGTCTGAGGCAGGCTGCGGCAGAACTTGTTGTATCTCCCTGAGCATCAGGAGATAAAGTCACTGTAGGACAAATGTGGCCTCTACTTTAGACAACAAAAAAGACTTTCTTATAGGGAATTCACACACTCGGTGATGGATCCCTGGGCCAGCGACAGGTGTCACTGTCATGTGAGACAGAGAGAAAAGGAACCCGGTGACACGACAGCCCAGAGCTGGGGAAAGCTCATATTTATGCTGTGACAGCGATGGTCGGGATGATCTGGATCCCAGTGGAAATGGAAGCAATAGTTTTCACTTATTTCCCCATTACATATTTGTATCTTTTTATTTAATTGACATTACTTTGTAGAAACCTGTTTTCACTTTGACATTAAAGAGTTTTTTTGTCCAAAAAAAAACAACAAAACAAATTATATTGACCACGACTGATTTATAAAATCAATAAAAGGGTAAAACATCCAAGGGGGTGAATAGTTTTTATAGGCTCTGTAGATGATGTGCTCAACACAGCACATGCTGAGAACCACAGCACGGCCAGAGCCCGGCGCCAGCCAACTACTTTGTCTCCTACAGTATGTGTGAACAGCCCATTAGTGTCCTACGTTACCTGCTACAAAGACAGACCCATGGAGGCACCGGACGTCCTGGGGGCTGCAGCTGCTGGTCGGTTGCGCTGGAGGACATGGGTAGTGTCTAAACCAAACAAAAAAAACTATCTTTTCAAACAGCACTTTTGGAGAAACAGCAGAGATATCAGGATGATGCTTACTTCAGAAACTTGAAATCGGGTATCTTTTCCAGAGCTTTGACCACAGCCATCCTGGTGAACACCAACTGCAGACAGAGACAAAGACCCACACTGCTGAAGTCACTTCCTGTAGTGACCCTTTGGATGTTGTGTAGCCACAGAAGGCTGGAACAAAGACTGAACATTATCACCTTCATGAAGGACAATTTAGTCCGGCACTGTTGGACAGACTTTAATAGGTACGCCTAGCTAAAGTCAAGCGGTAAACGATGACCTGTGGGGTTTCAGCAGAGGTAGTGTACAAGCTATGGACACCTTTTCAGCCCAGGGAATATTTTATAGCTCCTTTCATATCAAATACAGTGTAACTCCAATTCTTACCTAAACTGATAATAAAAGATCTTCAAAATGTAAAAAAGACATTGATGAAAATAAGAGTTATGTCTCGTACAGACCATGAGCTCAGTCTCCCTTGTATTATGTTGAAAGGTAAACCTCTTAACTCTGTGGCCTCCTCACCTGTTTGTCCTTGGTGGTTTTGAAGCAGTCGTGACACACTGCTGCTCTGTGGAGAGGACAGAAAACACAATTTACACAGAAGGCGCTTCACGTTCAGGTCAGAGGAAACACTTCAGCCTCTCTCTTCGATCATCACCTGGTTCCCGTCTGACTTTGAGCAGCTTTAACCTCAATCTGCCTCTGGACAAACATGACATTAACTGTACTTCTGACTTTGGATCAGCTTGTTCTTGGTCACTTTCAACTTCGGTGATTCAGAAATGTAATTTCTGCTCTAGTGTTTCAGCAACTTGACATGGCAGATGATCTAGTACTCACAGGAAGTGACAGTCAGCGTCTGTCTCTGGGTGAGTGAACTCCACACCGACCTCAAACGCACTCTAAAAAAACAAAACACAAAGTTGGCTCCATCTCTGAACAGTGCATCTGTCATCTAATGTGGAAAATTAACTTTTCTCTTTGACACAGCAGAGGGAAATGGAAACTACAGACTGGGATTTCTGCAGGTTTAGTTAGCTTAAAGACTTTTACAACCTTTTTTTAGACCACTCTGAGTCCAATTAAAGACAAATTTCATATCCATACTGGCAAAAAGGTGTGACGCATGTGAAGAGAAACCAGAGTCCATCAATTACGTGCAACATTCAGAGGTCATTGCAAAGTTAGTTCTGGCTCCTGTGAGGCCAGAGGTTTGCTGACATCTGCGGATATCTACAGGTGAACCTTTAGTTTGACCGAGTTCCCTTCAGCAGAGGAATGTTAAAACAGCCTGGAAATGTGTGAAACTGAAGTGCACTAAATGTCAGATTCCTGGATTGTAGGGCTTTAAGGACCTTCAGAAACATGTTCCCCTGAGTGTCACTGAAAAAGACACTGAACTCTATCCCTCTGGAAATAAAACGTATAAAGTCAAGTTTGAAAATGTTCTCTGTAAAGAAACTTTCTTTGACTATGTTTTTCTTCTCATCATGGATGTTACCCACCTTGGTTACCACGGCGATGCCCCCCAGCTCCTTGGCCACCAGGCCCTGCATGATCCACTTGAAGGCCTCCTTCACCTGGATGACATCATCCTTGTCAAGCACCAGGCCCTTCTCTCTGGGGTACGGTAAGAGTGTCAAAGTTAAACCAAACGTCTGAGTCCATGTATAGCGGTGTTCAAAGTGTATGAGTCGAGACAAAATCCTTTACCTCACTTCCTTCTTCACATGGAGCCAACAAGAGTGCTGCAGAAGTAAACATCAAGAGTTAATAAAGGCAGATGGAAAAAAGGACAACTTCTGAAACAATTAGTCGACAAATCAGTCATTAGTTGCAGCTCTAGCTGTTACCTGCTAATTTACATCACACACACAGACACACACCAACCTCTCGGACACACAGCTGAGCGGGCAGAGAGACTGACAGCACCACTGTGTCAAACTCGTAGTTTTCTGCCTTCACTGCCTCTGCTATCTGCGAACACACAATATGCTTATCAGGACAACAGCACAATCTGACACCTTGGCTGTCAGTGACAGTGTTACACACCTTTACAGCCTGACTTGTGCCACACATGTCCTGCAGGATCCCCAGACACACCACACACACTCGAGGCTCTTCCTCCTCTAGCCTGACAACGGGAGCGGGAGCAGCAGCAGCTTCGTCATCTCTCTCTAAGACAGCATCTGTCACACCAGGCTCCAGTTTAGCTCTTTTACTAGGTGGGTCTTCAGGTGGCTCTGGTACTGCTGAATCCTGGGATTTGCTGTTTTCTGTATCACTGATGAAAGCTTGAAGCTGCTTGAGCGTATTCTGTGTAAGAGAAAAGATGACAGTCAGTGATAGATCAGTAAGTCCCTGGTATTAGGGGGAACGGGCTATTTGAACATATTCATGAAAGAACACAGAAGGCGTGTTTCATGTTGGTGTGGAATGAGGGTCCTGCCTGTGGTGGTTGTCTGTAGGCGGCGTGGACGCTCACGCAGCAGAATCTGAGGATGCAGCGAGCACAGCAGCCGGCCAACAGAAGCATCTGGACCATGGGTTTGTCCTTGTCCTTCAGCGGCAGCATGGCTGCAGGGCGAGGAGCAGAGACAGTCATTATCAAACACAGGGCCACTGTAAAGTGCCTCATTCAATACATATCCTGGTCACGAGTCTTTAACAAAGAAGCAAACAGTATTGATGTAAAAATGAATTCTGGGTAATACATTATTATTTGATAATTTAATTATTGCATTGTTTATCGCTTGTTTACACTGTTTATTTTGTTACACTACACAGCCTTATGTTGGTATTTGTTTACTTGCCCCTTGCTGTTGCCTTGCATGGATATGTACATGCACATTGAGTGAAATTCCTCGTGTCCAACACACCTGGCCAGTAAAGCTTCAAACAGCCAGTACTGTTCGGCTCTAACATCTATATGTTATACATAGTTTTTAGTAACAGCAGGCTGAAAAGCTTTTATTGAAAGTTTCACCACATTTAGTTGTGGTTGCGTTGCACCTGTAAGTTAAACACTGGACCAGTCCAGCAATAATAACTTGACCAGGAAGTGCCAGGGTACTCTTTTACGGGGTTTATTCTTTAACTTAATATTTATTCTAAATGCATAAATAGGACTTACAAACGACTATTCTCGCAAAACACGGATAATAAACAGCTACAACACAGCTGCAGCTAAACATGAGCGCCTTCCATACTCGAAGCTAAATTAGCTAACACTAACTTTTTAAAAGTCACAGCGACAGGATGTGCAGACAAACACAGTGAGCTGGTGCTAAACACCCGAAATGAACCAACCTTGTGCAAAAGTGGCTAATTCAAGAAGATTTACAGAAAATAAAGAAAACCGTGTTCAGTCACTTGTTAACATGTTGAACTGAAAGGCATCTTCTTCCCTCTACTCTCTGCCTGTCAGACAAAACTAATCCATCCGGATCAATTGTCTTCTTTAATCTTAAACGTAACGAACAATATAATAACTATACTCTGTTAAACTTAGATGGCAAATCATATTTCGTAAAATATAAACAAATATAACACTATTTTGAATCAATAAAGAAATATAAATGAATTCTCTCAGTTCGGTTCTCAACACATAATGTCTCGAAACGTCATCTCCATGCACCGGCAGTTTGACAGCCGGGTCCTTCTCTACGCAGAAGCCCGTGGCTCTGGAAGGTTCTAACTAGGAGCGGGTGGAGGAACTTGCATCTGAGTCCATCCGAACCAGAACCGCAGTAATTCATCTCCGGGGCTCATCAGTCACACTCTGAAGACTCTTCTTAACAGTTTCCCTTGATTATATAGTCGCGATGCCTGAAGTAATGACGGTACCGAGAGCCTCAAACGGAGGCAGAAACAAAGGAGGGGCGTATGTGGATCGCGACAAGCCGGCCCAGATTCGGTTCAGTAACATTTCTGCTGCCAAAGGTAGGTTAAATGCGTCTTGCAGGCTGTTGATATCCGGCCCAAAATTCCACCTTCCCGATCAGATTTGGAGCTCTGGACTGGGCTGGGCACCGTTACCAGGCGTAGCTTCTTCCCGGCCCGAAACCTCAGTCAATGAAATTCCGATTTAACAGCCTTGTTCTGCGATAGATATACATCACTTAGTGGCTTCAGCAGATACTGGAGGTAAAAAATAAAAATAAAAAAAATAAATAAATAAAAGAAATAAAAATTCAAGAGAATCCTATATCTATTCTGCTAATATGAATTTACCCGGCATAGCACTTATTTTGCTAAGACTTACCTCAAATTTGGGATTTCTTACCACTAAAGCTTCTTCCAGTCTAGCTTAACGTAAAGAGCAGCATGAGTCAACAATTTCCAGCAATTTGACTGGAGTTCTGTTTGGTGTTGGCTCCATACGAGATGCTCCTGATGACTACGTATTAAAATGGGTTTTACTGAAGTATCTAAAATAAAAACTGAAGCAGAAAATCTTTTAGTAACTTTGTTTTCAGTCAGTTGTGTGCAGACTAGATTTTGACAGGTTGATTTTCTTTATTGTGACATCGGACTTCTGTGAAATCTGTATGTGCTGTGTTGATTTGATTATCCTGAAACATACATGCAGCATTTCTTTAGTGTACTGAGAAGATTAAGACTGGATGTTAAAGGATGTATTGTTGTGTGTCAGCAGTGTTGGTTCTGGCAGCCCTTAAAATCCCCACACATATATTGTGATTGTGATTTTTCATGCTTTTAATCCAAGAGATGTTGAGATGATTGTTGTAACTGTTCTTACACATCACTTGCTTGTATGACAGCTGTGGCAGATGCCATCAGAACAAGCCTGGGACCCAAAGGCATGGACAAGATGGTCAGTGAACTGCTTTTAGCTTCAGGCTAACTTTACCCAGCTCCTCAGTCATACATGTGTATCTAAGGAGAGGTGTATTGTGTTGCAGATCCAGGATGAGAAAGGTGACGTGACCATTACGAACGATGGGGCCACCATCTTGAAGCAGATGCAGGTGCTTCACCCTGCTGCCAAAATGGTATGATGTACAGCAGCGGTGCGAACGCTGTCTGGTGGTGTGCGTTTTACTGTCTCCGACTGTAGTGATGTGTTTTGACCTGTTAACCTGAGAGCATGAATTTTATCTTTATTTATTTCCTGAGATATTTTGCAAAACTTCCCACTGTTAGATTATATTGTTGACTAATCTGGATTGAAATGTGCGTTTCAGCTGGTGGAACTGTCCAAAGCCCAGGACATTGAGGCTGGTGACGGCACCACCTCTGTGGTGGTGATCGCTGGAGCGCTGTTGAACTCCTGCTCCAAACTGCTGCAAAAAGGTGAGAGCTACATGGAAGTGGGGACAGATGCACAGTAAAAAGAAATTCACGCAGCTACTGTAAATCCATATCTTGGCAGCTGGGCTTTGTCATGAAGAATCAGTGGGGAGTGGTGACGGTTTGGTAATTTGATTAGCCAGCTGTCAGAGAAATTCAGGTAAAAAGTGGAAAAGCTAGAGGTAGAAATGTTGGTACAGTCATAGCTGCTGTGTCAGACTGAGCAGATTGTTCAAGTTCAGAAAAAAGCTTTTTTGCCATATTTACTTTGAGATGCTTTATAAAGGAGTACAGACACCAGAGTGAAGTTAGTGTGATGATCACCTGCAGGATGTGCAGCTCATCCAACATGTTTTTGATTGACTTGGAAACTGAGCCACTACTGTTCATACTGTTGTTTGCATCAGTGACTGAGATCACATGGTGAGCTTGCTTAAAGAAGAGATAAGCGGTGTTTTTCACTCACGAACCATTTGATATATAAAATGGCAGAAAACAGTGGAGAAATGGCAAAAATCCCAGGTTAGCAGAGACTAGCAGCTGAAACCACAGTGATTGAATGTACGCTGTATGAACCTGTAGCTGCTATTTGGGGTTTTTGGCTGGTAAATGTTTTAGATGACTTCCCTGCAGAATGACTGTGTTGTATAGCTTCAGCGCTGACGTTTCCACTCTGCCCTGTTGGTCAGGTATCCACCCCACCATCATCTCAGAGTCGTTCCAGAAGGCGGTGGAGAAAGGAGTGGAGGTGCTGACGGCCATGAGCCGCCCGGTGCATCTGAGCGACCGTGAGACACTTCTCAACAGCGCCACCACGTCGCTGTGCTCCAAGGTGGTGTCGCAGTATTCCAGCCTGCTGGCGCCCATGAGCGTTGACGCCGTCATGAGAGTCATTGACCCGGCCACAGCCACCAGCGTCGACCTGCAGAACATCAAGATCATCAAGAAGCTTGGGTGAGTTTTTCTCACCACTTAGAAATATGTTTTTTAAACTAGTTTGAACTTTTCTATTTAGTACATGTATAAATATGTGTTACAGTAATAAACATTTTCCTAGTGTGCTTATTTTTAAGTGCCATTTCTACCATTATAATCTTGTTTAAAGAGTTATTAAAGAGGTTCTTTTATTGGTGTTATTTTAGTTCATTTATTTTTATACTGCTGTGAATTTAATGAATTTTCTATGATAGTTTAGACACGAGTCTCAAGTAGTGTCTTTAAGCCACTGTAGCTGATTCGGACTTGTTGTTTCAGAGGGACCATCGATGATTGTGAGCTCGTGGAAGGCCTGGTGCTCACCCAGAGGTTGTCCCACACCGGCGTGAGCCGTGTGGAGAAGGCCAAGATCGGCCTCATCCAGTTCTGCCTGTCTCCTCCCAAAACTGATGTGAGTCATCTCAGAGCAAAAAACTGTTATTTTCAAATTGAAATTCGCTTTAGGTTACACAGCGTTTCAGCCACAACACTGTGTCCTTCCACAGAAGGTGCTTATGTCGATGAATCATCTATGTAGAGTAAACAGGATCAAGTCCTGAGTTCTGAATTTCACACTGACGTGGTGATTTTCCAGAGAACAAACTCTATTCCATATATAACATCAGTTTCTGTCCTGGTCCACTGTTTGACCTGCTGTTTGTTCAGATGGACAACCAGATCGTGGTCTCAGACTACGCCCAGATGGACCGTGTGTTGCGGGAGGAGCGCGCTTACATCCTCAACTTGGTGAAACAGATCAAGAAGGCCGGCTGCAATGTGCTGCTCATCCAGAAGTCTATCCTCAGGTACGTGGACACACCTGACACAGTAGCAGAGGCTGGTTCTCATTTCGGAGATGAAATCTAACAACAACCTGTCCTGTGACAGAGATGCTATGAGTGACCTCGCCCTACACTTCCTCAACAAAATGAAGATCATGGTGGTGAAGGACATCGAGAGAGAGGACATCGAGTTCATCTGCAAGGTGACAGCGCTCAGACGAGCAGACCCTTCACCCTCTGAAGCTGTGATCAGTGTCTGTGTAGGAACACATGCTGTGTTAGTTTGGGTCATACCAGATGTTCTCATTATGTGAGGACAAGTTGGCTTTCACACAGCCAGAGTTAGGTTGGTGTCAGCATCTCTTCATGAGTGGTGTTTATAATCAGCGTTTAATTCTTATGTATAAATTGCTTTGGAGCCAGAACTCATCTCCTTTGTGTGGTGTTCCTTAAATGAACCTGTTGTATTTCAGCTAAATAAACCAGACTTTGCTTCCCTCCAGACTATTGGCACCAAACCCATTGCCCACATCGACCACTTCGTGCCTGAGATGCTCGGCACGGCGGAGCTGGCAGAGGAGGTCAGCCTGGACGGTTCTGGCAAGCTGGTCAAGGTACACATCAGACTGAGTCTTTGCACTGAGGTCCTGGTTTATTCACAGCTGGATGTTACAGCAGTTTTCAGGTCATCAGTAAGGACTTAGAGTTCATAAAACAAAACTGTGGTGTCGTGTTATTGCGTTTCCAGTAAACCTTTGCTCATTGCAGATCACAGGCTGCACCAACCCCGGGAAAACGGTGAGCATCGTGGTCCGTGGCTCCAACAAGCTGGTGATCGAGGAGGCCGAGCGCTCCATCCATGATGCCCTGTGCGTCATCCGCTGCCTGGTCAAGAAAAGGTCAGTCTGCTCGGCCAAGCTAACACAACGGAGATAATTTAGAAAAGTAGAAACCTGAGTAAGAAACGTGTCCCTCCCTGCTGATTGAATGGACGCTGCCGTGACAGGCCAGATGACCTCTGACAAAGGCGCTCCTGCATTGCTTCATCCTACAGGAGCGTAACAAGCAGAGGTACAGTACTGTGGAAAACTCTCTGTTGGTCCACTCCTGGTTGGTTCAGCAACTTGGCCACGGAGTTTTCACACATACGTTACATATCCTGGGAATACTGGAAGGTCAGTTTGATGAATGTTTAATGTGAAAAAGCATTTTGACTGATCTAGTCAGTGATGATAGGCAGGAAAGAAACTGTTAGTGGGCGTTTTTCTGTTTCTCACTTTGCCTTCTGTTACAAAAACCCATTTTAATATTTTTGTATTGAAGTGTGCGTTTCTCCCCCTCTCAGGGCGCTGATAGCTGGTGGCGGTGCTCCAGAGATCGAGCTGGCCGTGCGTCTGGCAGAGTACTCGCGCACCCTGGCCGGCATGGAGGCGTACTGCGTGCGAGCGTATGGCGATGCCCTGGAGGTGATCCCCTCCACGCTGGCTGAGAACGCTGGCCTGAACCCCATCTCCACTGTGACGGAGCTCCGCAACAGACATGCCCAGGGAGACAAGATGGCCGGCATCAACATCCGCAAGGTGAGGTCCCTCCCACCCCCCCGCCGGTGCTTTGTTTACTTCCCAATGTTTTTTTCTATGAAGGAGCATAATGAAGGCTACGTTCAGACCAACGTCAGTGGAAAAACACCGATTTCTGATTAATTTGAACAGAGCCGGTCTCTCAGCGCGTGGGGCAGCCGGGGTAGGGTTGTTCTGCAGACAAGCTGCACCAGGTTCAGGTTTGCTGCAACATGAACTAAGACACTGCATTGGCCAGTGAAATGCGTGCACATTCCTGGTAGATGGCCTTATGACAGGCGTTTTTAATCTTCACTGAGACACTATAAAATAACTTGTAACTGCTGTAAAGTGCTACATGGGAATATTACGAACCCCTGTGCGGCGTCTTGGTGTCTGAGAAACCTTTAAATGTGTTGGTCTGTGGCTCCAGCTGAACTGAACAACAAGAGGCCCCATTTACACGGTGCCATGCGGCGTTTGTGTTGCACTGATTGTACATTCTTACTGAAAAGAGTTCATCAGAAATGATCAAGTAAAAACACCCAAATATTTTCCAGTCCCTGGTGAGAATTTGCTGCTCTTTTTGTTTTATATTCTAAATGGAATATCTTTGGATTTTGGACCGTTTGAAGATGTGAGCATAATTATGAGGGCATCATTCGGTTTTTGTGTGTGTGTGTTTTTACTGACTTTAAGATCGATCAGTAATTTCATAATATTAGCAGAAAATGAATGGAATGAGTCTTAAAACTGGACATCACTCCAGTCACACTCACCCAACGATCACAGCAAATGCTCTGGCAAAAGAAAAACATATGCCATTGTTCTGTCCCTCTGGCGGCAGTTACGTGCCTGTGCAGTGTTTTCTTTTGCTCTAACCGGCATTAGGATGAGCTGTAGCTCAGCTGTGACTGGTTTACTACTGCTCTGTGACAGGGGGGTATTTCCAACATCCTGGAGGAGCTGGTGGTGCAGCCTTTACTGGTTTCCATCTGTGCACTGACCCTGGCCACAGAGACGGTCCGCAGCATCCTCAAGATTGACGACGTGGTAAGACTCCACATCCTTAACGCTGATTGGATTTACGGTTCAAAGTGAATTCTTTTACCTGCACTGGCTTTATATTTCTTCTTCCATATCTGGTGACATTATTTCTCACACCATTTGGTCTGAGCTGAAGGTGATTTTTCTTGTTACAGGTGAACACTCGGTAAAGGTCGTGAACTCCGTCACTAAGCCTGCTCGTACTGCGAAGGATCAGAGGACTGTCGACATCAGTCTGTTCAGATTTCTGCTGGAGTTGTTACGTTGCATAATTGAATTAAAATAGGCTTGTTTTTTTGTTGTTCATGCTCCAGCTGTCGCCTGTGTGATTATTTTTCCAGTGAGTCAATGCATCTTTTCTTTAGATATTGTTTGAGAGTATTTTTAAACTCTGGACCTTTTAAAGAGGCCACTGGATACCTGGAAAATAATTATTTTGGTACAGTAATAGTTTAATATCTTGGCCAATCACTCAGTTTATTACAGATCATTGGCATGTGTCTGATGAGCAGAGCAAACATTCAGGAACCAAAGCACCAGCAACAAGGATCAGTAAAACGGTGTAAGACAGAAAACACACAGAGGTGTGTGTGGTCCTCTATTTAAATTAAAGCCACTGTTAATATGTAAGTTATAAAGATCTGAATGGGTATTGTGCACATTTTAAATATTTTTGAGATTTTCAGTACAGCTGGGATTCGTTGAAAGTATTAAATTGGGTGGGATTTTTCTGAATTTGGCTTTGTGTATATGTCACTTTGCAACGAGAATCGTGTTAATCATTTCTCAGTTTTTTATAACTAGTCAGATTATATCCACATGTAGTCTCAGAGAAATCCATTGGTAAAATCCATTCATTTATTCTTTAGCTTCTTTCCAATGTAAGTGGGGGTGACAGCAAAAGAAAAAATATATTTTGCATGGTTTTCATGTTATTTTGAAAGAAAATGGTGTCAAAGTGTAACTGCCACTAAATAATACATATTACATATCCATCGTAAGTACATTTACTCAACAACTGTACTGAAGTACAATGTTAACTTGGACTTCACTACATCTCAGAGACAATTCTTGTACTTTTTACTGCTTTACGTCATTTCCTGTCACGGTCCGTCACCTCCTGCTTCCCAACCAAGCGGTGCTCGTTGCTAAGGAGCTCACCTGTTGCGTGGATACCGACTGACACCTGCTAGCACGAGGGCATTGACTGGATTAGCGCTAACGGGCTAGCTAACATATCGGTCCCACTGGTTTTACATTAACAGTACTTGAATTATTTACGTACCATGGCGAACGGCCACCGGACAAACGTTATGGTCTCCTCGTGTTTGAAAACGCCGGTAGACCCGCGCACCAAAGCGCCGTTAGCGTCATACGAGCGGGAAAGAGCGCTGCCACACACGGCTCCGAGTCATATGGACAACCGGGACCAGGAGAAGGAGGTAAAGACACTACACAATCACTCTGCTGGGTTCAAAGCACGAAGCTATGGCGCATCGTTTACCAACCTGGACTTTTTGATTTAAACACTTTCAAAATGACCGATGTCTCCTAAGTAACTAGTTGTCTAACCAAAGGTCTAGTAGGTTAAACCACCAAACTCAGATATTAATAATGTTGATGCTCCAACAATGATGTGTCAAATTAAAGCATTTTAATTCAGGCCTTTTAAAAGTACAATTTAGACCAAATGTTTTAGAGATTATTACATTTTCTATCAAAAATGGTAAAATTGATAGAACTAGGATTATTTTATCAAGCACCAAAGAGAAATCTCTACTGAATATACACAGTTTAGTCTATACATGTATTATATCTGTGAATGAAAAAGATCCTGTTTGTTCTAATAAGGACTGGAAACCCAGCTGAATGAGGTTTTACCTTAGTTCACCAGCTACTTTTGAATTTAAGGGGTTTTCCCTTCACCAATTCATATCGTTGCAGTGTACCACTTTAACCAGTATAACTTTGTTTATCTTGTCAACAGCAGACAGTCTCCTGTCCAGTTAACAGGCCAGTTTCAGTCAGTCTGTGTGGTAGAAGGGATCTGACCTGTGTTATTTCTTGGCCCGACTATTTCTGGACTTCCACCTCGATTAGATTATCAGATGTCACATTGACTTTATAATCCAACATGCTTAATTTTCCTGTGGAGAACAACCCTGTAGGATCCTGCAGCAAACACCTCATGAGCCAGACGTCTGACGGAAGATGTGCGTCAGCTGAGCTCTTTTCGTGTTAAGCTGTCCTTTGTGCTCCACCATATGGCCCATGTCACTGCTGCACCAGGATAATAGGCTTAGTCCTGGAGGAGCCCTAGTGCTGCTGGGTGGGGGTGCTCCTCTCCAGGACGACTTGGTGGTCAAACACGTATTCTAAAGCCAACATAAACTAAAATTTTCTGGAAACTTCAAAACAAATATCAGTTTATTTATATCACATAAATTACACTATGTGAGTCCATCCATGCTGTTGTTTATTTTCTACCCAGACCACTTTTTGGTAAAAGTCTACTGTTGTTCTATTCAGACAGAGTATGAGGACTCAGGCTCTGATTTCTGTGATGAGGACTGTCTGGTGATGAACAACTACAGAGCTGCAGGAGGCCATCTGGACCTGACTGAAATCTTCTTGTCCAACGAGGAGTACTACAGCAAGCTGGAGGAGCTGAAGAAGGCCCACCTGCACACTATGGCAGAACTTGAGAACCTCTATCGGCAAAAGCTGCAGCTCAAGGCTTTGGAGCCTTTAGACATGACAACTCCTGGGCACAGGTGGGTGCAAGAGACTCATGGTTAACAGCACTGGGATTCTCATGTTTGTAGGTTTGTCTTGTTATTTTATGGCTTTAACACAGACTTTTTGCACTAGGCAGACAAATATAACAAAGACAGTTGTGAGCTGCTAATATGAATCCTTGATCTAACTCATTTTGGTAAAACATTTTTCTCATTCAGTACCAGTGGTGTTTAGGATACAGGGTAAATCCCAATTCCCTTATTTGATCAGTCCTCAATCCTTGCTTGACCTGGAAGTTGTTACAATCTGGCATCTTGAGTACTGTCCAAAAGCTCTTATACCCGCTCTGAGGAGCATGGAGACATGAGAGGGAACACACCAGAGCGTCCTTTATGGACAGACACTCTCCTTTATCAGAGCTTCAGATGAAAGATCGGAGGAAAGGACATTTCATCTTACGTGGGCAGAATTAAGACCCAAGGAAAAAGTACCAGATGCAGTTAAGGGAATTGGTATTTACCCATAGGTTTGTTTAATGTGCCCTGGGTTGGAGTCTGTTTGACTTTGGCCTCCTGCCACCAGTATGGTGGAAATGCAATTGTAAATGAATTTGAAAAACCCAAATGCAATTTGTCTAAATAGTTTCCCATACTGATATTAGTTTTCTGTTTGCATGGCAAAACACATCTTTTGCTGTCAGTAGGTTCATAATTTGGATAAACTATAAGTTTAAATAGCGATTGCACTTGTCATATGCAATTAGAATATGTCACAGAAGTTGTGATGGACATGTTTCACAATTCTCTGATAGTTGATTCATCAATTAATTGATAAAACAACTGAGATGACTTTTTTTTTTTTAAATGTTGATGCGGTTTAATGAATGTAATTTTATTGAGCATGTATATGTTGCCTATGAGCTGAGTTGTAACGAGAATAGCAGCCCACAATTTCACTTAATGTGAATTTATTAAAGACAGCAGCTCCCGTTGTCTATTTCACTGTATGTGAAGGATGAGTAACTGTATTAACAGTCAGGTGTCCATATTTCTTTTTAGGCAGCCGTGGTCAAACACCAGCCCAGCAGCCTCACGTGGTCTGAGGAAGTCACGCTCTGCCGTTGAACTCAGGCGGAGCTCTGGACACTCAGACTTATTAGACGAGGATGAAGCTGCCTGTGATGCAGTAGAGAAAGGCCTGCTTTTTTCTCCCAAAGAACATATTAAGAACATGTGGCGAGACTTCAAGATGTCCCCTCACAATCGTCACCTGTCGTCTTCTTCGTTACCAGGAGACCAGAATAGAAAGAGAAAAGGGAAGAAGAGGCAGGGGCTTAAAGATGGAGAGCAGGAGCATTGGAAACACAGGGTGACTGTTCCTAAACCCTTCCAGATGACACTGCGTGAGGCTGGCAGGCAGAAGCTGGGTTCGGAGATCGAACTGCAAAATGCAGAGCTGCGACGGCAGCTAGAAGAACTAACAGAGTGCCAGAGGAAGTTCCACGCCAGCCCCGTACCTGCTCACGTTCACCTCCCACTTTATGACGAGCTGCAGGAGCGAAATGAGGAGCGGCGGCAAAACATGCGAGAGCGAGAAAAGCAGCATCTTCAAAGCATACAGAAACCTTTCAGCTTCCTGGAGAGGGAGCGGCTGAAGAAGGAGCAGAACCAGCTGCGTCACCCACAGCCATCCGACCAGGAGAGAATCAAACCCTTCAAGGCCAAGCCTGTGCCGAAGGCAGTGTACGCAGCAGCATCAGGGGAGCAGATGAAGGAGGAGCAGCTGTACCGCTCTATAAAGATACAGATGAGGGCCCAGGAGTTGCTCCACAGTGCCTCAATGCCTCCCAGCATGCTCGCACGGCAACTCAGCCAGCGCAAGACCAAAGATGGCAGTGCTGCAGCGGGAGGGGATAACAGCTTCACACACAGGCCCCTGATTAACAAAGAGGTCCCTGACTTCAACGCCAGCTACAGACGCTTCCAAAAACACCTGGAGAAACGAAAAGAGGTGAAGCCCACGACTGCATGTGAACCCTTTGAACTGAGGACGTCACAGATTTCCTCGCATCGTGAACACATCCTGGCTGACATCGAACAGGAGCGGCGCAGCCCTTGGATGCAGCGCTGGCCACACATCAGCCCCAGGCCAGCTCACACGCCAAACTCCAGCCTCTGTTCGTCCCTCTCAGGCAGCATGGAACTCCTGCCTGCCAAAGTCACAGATGCCACCAAAAAGCGCCACGAGGCCGTGAGGTACCTCTTTAGGACTCCAAAGTCTTCCACCATTTTAGTAGAGAAAGCCTCAGACATAGTGAGCTCAGCAGCTTCCTTCTGTGTTTGAAATCCACACCAATGGATTTCTCTGGGACTACCTTTCCCAATGTCCCTGCTGTGTGTTTATGACCCCACACCCATCCTAATATTTTTACACCCTATAGCTGATTGTTGCACCCATATCCTCAACTATCTGCCCCCACCTTGCAGAAGACCCCATCCCACCCAAACATTGCTCCATCTGTGACCAGACTGTCTCCCTGAGTAGAAAGGTCCTTGAGCAGAGGAAGAAGGCTGAGGTGGAGGAGGAGCGGTGGAGGGAGAGACAGAAGCAGAGGGAGAAGAAGCTGCAGAGGGTGGTGTCAAAACGTGCCCATGCCAACGACCCCCACCAGGCTCTGTCACAGACCCACCAGACCAAACTCAAGGAATTCAGGTACCCTCAATACATCCTGATGACCTGAACTGCTGAATGGAACGGGGCCACCCATAACCCTGAGTTACCTGCAGGAAACAAGACCACCAGCGCCAGAAGGAGTACCAGCAGGAGGTCAGAGAGATGCGGCAAAGAGTGAAGGGGAGGCCGCTGCTGCTGGAGCAGGTTGCACAGGTGGATCAGAACTCACAGGTGTCCATGTGATCATCTCTCACCCATCCTCTTGCACCCAGACTTGTCTCACCTACTCACACACAAACAGATTGTAATTACAGCACATTGTGTGCCATTAATTCATGTACAAGCCTAAATGCAGCAGAACCTTTATAGTGAAACAGATGAATTAAACACACAAGGTTAAACGACCAGTGAGCATTTGTTTGGCTTGGTGAACAGAGACTAGAAGACACCTGTCCTAACTGTGATAAAGTGTTTTACATCTAAAATGGTGCAGAACAAAAACATACAAATGCAAGAAAAGCAGTAAAGGTAGTTAAAACACAAGTAGTAGTTTAAAAACATACAATGATATAAACTATTCACTGTGTTAAAAGCCTGCCAGTTTATAACAAATTTAAATGAGGATACTGGGCTGAAAGTAAAGTTACCCTTTATTATGGTAACATAGATGAAAAAACTACTGCAAACTTAACTTCTCTGGTGCATCCAACCATAAAGGGGTTTTCTGCACATCTGTCAAAACTTAGGTGCTTTAATGTAACGTATCCAGTCACTGCCAACAACACCAGCTTTTTCTGTTGCAGAAACTGTGGACTGCAGTCTAGAGCCTCCATTTGACACTGATATTTGACCCCTACTCCAGGATCTGTAAATGTCTCAGACTGCTGTGAAGTCATAATTTAGGGTTGGTTTTGAATGAGATGTGCAGGTAATCCAGGGGGCTGTAGGGACTCACTAAGGAGATTCAAGTGAGCCAAGGCTATTTCCTGAACTTTGGTTACTCTGCCTTTACCTACACCAGCTCTCTTACTGTGTGCTTTGGTACCAGAGGAATGCCAAACAGGCTGCAGAGAGGCGCTACACAGACGTCCTGCATGGATGCAATCTGACTGAAGAGTTCATCAGCAGTAAGGCGGCCAAATCAGGATCTGCACGCCAAGCCTCCCCATCTGGTGACAGCAAACGGAGGTAAATCTGTGACGTCTTTGTTGTGCAAACTGTACAGGTTTACTGACCCAGCTGGTCTGGTGCTTCAGAGCAAAGTACAAGTAGAATTCACTCCTCATGTGATGTCTTAAAATTGCCTTTAGTCTTAACAATCAAAATCTTGAATCATTTAATTTATCTTACAACTCAAAAGAAAGCATGTTTTTAAAACTGTAACCAACAAGATAAAGTCATGGCACTGTTTGAGGTTTCCTGGTTTTCTCCATAAATTGGTCATGAAATGGGATCAGATCTTCACCAAAGTCACAAACATCAACAAACATATTTCTAAGCTGATAAAACACAAACAGTCCTGATCTTTCATGTCTTTATTGAACAGTCCCATTAAACATACACAGTGATTTTGGACAAAGCCATGCAACACCAGGCTTCTGATGTCACTAAATGTCAGCTGGAGTCAGGTGTTAGCAAACCTGGAGTCCAGTCAATGACATGAGAAGGAGGTGTAGTTTAGAACGACCTTGACTTAAAAACACTCAGACAGCGTCAGTGTGCTGTTCACAAGCAGCATCAGCTGATGTGAGTCTACGATCAAGAGTTGTTGATCTGCGTGTAGCTGGAAAGGGCCACAGAGTCGTCTCACAGACTTATTCATCAGTCCAGACGTATTGTCTATAAATGGAGACGATCTGGTGCCGTGGCTGTTCTCCATGGGAGTGGGCACCCGGCCAACATCAGTCCAAAGGAGAATCATCAGTGAGTAACAGCTAAAGACCAGAAGGATTCAGTGGAGCTGGTTAACATCGCTGTTCACGAGTCCCCAGCAACATACATGAGAGGTCAGAATATTAGGAACACCTTTGAATATAAGGTAGTCCAGTACAACACCACCTCAGTAATGAATATATAATTAAATGTATACATTTAGAACTATTTCACCAAAAACTGAAACATTCTGAGCTTCATAAACAGATGTTAAGGCAGAAGTGTTTTACTGAAGTGAATACAGTACATGTGCAACTATTAATGTGACGGGCAGTATGGAGTTTAAAAAACAGGTTTGTAAAGTTTTGATCCAAAATAAATTACTTTTAATGAACTACTAAACTGAATTCAGCGCAACACAAACTGGCCGTGTCACAGAGTGTCAGGTCATATGAAGTGTGTCTGTTAATATATGATGACTTGGCTATTTTAGAGGGCTGGGAAACAGGGTGGGCTGATGTATAATGACGAATGTTTTATCGCTTGTCATGGGCAACTGATGTGTGTTGCCCTTCACTGTTTCAGCTGCTTCTGTAAACAAAACAAACAAAAAAACAAAACTGGAAACACAGAGTAGCCTCTGGACATTTGAAAGAATTTCCAAATCTCAGCTTTAACATTTAAGTAAAATACTATATGAAAATGGTGAAGATCCAGTCTTGATGATCTTGCTGATTAGTGGCTGAGAAGAAAAATGAAAAGGACACAGTTGTGATCTATGAACTATGAGTGAGAGTATAAACATGTATAGGATGTTGGTGCTCTGATCTGACTGTGTTATTTTGTTGATCAGTGACCAGCAGGTGGAAGACATGGGGTATGAGCCTGTTCTCTACAGAAAGGTCTTCCTGGATGACGAAGATGTGGGCGATGAGCCCCATGATTCTGATGAAAGTTACCACTACTCAGGCGATCATGAGGGTTATTCAGATGACAGCGAGCACGATGCTGACACCAGGCAGCAGGAGGCCAGCGACTGATGTCATCAGACTTCATGATCTCACAACCCTTCATCAAAAACCGAACATGTCAAGTGAGGAGGAGCACTGAAGCAGAAGCTTGTTTGTCCTGGAGGTTTATGTTATTGTAACAGCACACAGGCACAATCCACTGTCTGCATTCTGTCTGGTTTGAGTCTGCAGTGCTTTATTTTGCGGTGAGAGCAACAACATAGGAAGACCTTACTCAGATTGAGTATGTAGTACAGATCTGTCACCTTGACTGGACTTTGTTACTAAAGCTATCTTTACTTTTATTATTTACATCTTTGGTTATCCAGTGGCCAGTTTGTTGTCTTACAGTGTTATTACAACATACTACTATTATTATTACAACAGTACCACAAACAACAATAAATTAAATAAACTTGCCATTGTTTCTGTAATGATTATGACTTTCAGTTATTTGTTTTAGAATATATATATATATACTGGTGTTACTGGATGCACTTCAGATAAAAGGTGACTGAACGGTACACAGTTTAGATGTTTAGATTCTTATCCATCATGTAATGATTGGTTCCAGGTGCATTCTGCAATGAGCCCAAACCTCCAGCCACAGTCATAAAGAACTAAGCTCAGAGACTAGAAGGATCCGGGGTCCTGCGGCAGATGGTTTGGCCCCCACAGAGCCATGACCTCAACATGGTGGAGTCAGTCTGGGATCATGTGAAGAAAGCCTGAACCCACAGGGGGACTGTGGCAGGCTCTCCCAGACGCTGGAACAACCTACCTGCCAAATACCTGGAAAAACTGTGCACCTGTACTGAGGCGTCTGGTATTGGTTTAAAGGCAAAGGGGGGTCACAGCAGATGTGGATCTGATTTAGGTTTTTCCTGTATACCGCACTTTGTATGGTGTTAAGTGCTAAAAACTATTCACTGCAACATTTTTTAAAGGATCCTCACTTTACGTTTAGTTTCTAAACAGTTTGAACAGTAGTGTGCATTTTGACTTGGGCCGTCCCTGGTAGGCTAGTGGTTAAGGGCCCGGTTGTGTCAGGAAACACGTGCCAAACGTCAGTGTGACGGTTCGCTGTGGTGACCCTTAAATGTATGGAGATAAAATACGTTCAAAAATGTTACAAATGCGTGTTTAACGTTTTGTCTGTAACAAGCGATTTGTGTGTGTGTGTGTCATGCTGTTCACAAATGCGTGCTGTACAAACTGCACTAAAACACATTTTACAAATGCTTAAAATCGATTTTTCGTGTGCAGTTCTTTAGAAAGTACGTACAAATTGTTACCTACGCATGCGTGACAAAAAGTTACATTGAGTTAATGCTGGTAGCTAAAGGCTAAAGTTAACTAACTAGTTAACTAGCTACTAAGCTAACGAAACACTGTAAGCATATGATCCTGGTGTGAACAGGACGCATGTTCAGGTTTACTGATCATAAGAGCATGTTACTAAGACAATGCAGGCATGTTGTGATTAAGAATGATCATTAATTTTATACTCACGGGAGAAGATGAGCCAGGCCGACTTTGTCCTGACATGGCTGCTGCGATTAACAGCATGACAAGCTAGCCCGACACCTAGTGGCATCATATCGAACCATCCACTTATCTAGCATAGCACGACAAACCGTGGAGCATATATTTAATATATAAAAATTTAGAACATACACCACAAACTGCAGGCAGCTGGGATGTTCTCTGTTAAAACGTGTTATGTATTAGATATTTTTGTTTATTTTATGTAATATACATTTGGAATAGCGTTGTGTAAATACTTTTGTTTGGTAAACTCAGATGTCCGAGTTTTCCACGTGTCCTTAAACGCACCGTGCATTCGTGGATCGTGGACTTTTGAGAGTGCGGAAAAACACTCTCAAAAATCCGTGTGTGCGCGGAAGGTGATTCGTGTGTGTTATACGATCCACGCATGCGTAGGCAACAATGTGTACGTACTTTCTAAAGAACTGCACACGAAAAATCGATTTTAAGCATTTGTCAAATGTGTTTTATGTGCAGTTTGTACAGCACGCATTTGTGAACAGCATGACACACACACACAAATGGCTTTATACGTGCAGATTGCGCAGCACGCATTTGTGATCCTCATGACACACACACACACAAATCGCTTGTTACAGACAAAACGTTAAACACGCATTTGTAACATTTTTGAACGTATTTTATCTCCATATAAATGGGACAAGCCGAAAGTGACTGTGTATTATGACTTAACAGTAACTGACTAGTATTTAAAAGAAATATGAAATACTTCAGTTTGTAGTCATCATGACCTGGGCGATGTCCACAATAAAGACATTTATAAGAATAAGTATAATCACCTTTATTGGCCAAGTATGTTACACACACATGGAATTTGTTTCCGGTACAGAACCGATGGCAGGCGCCAACTCAACCGATGACTCTAAACATCGGGGGCAACTTGGGGGTTCAGTGTCTTGGTCAAGGACACTTCAACGCCTGGACTGCAGGCACCGAGATTCGAACCCTCGACTCTCCGGTTAGGAGACGACTGCTGTACCCACCGAACCCAAGGCGCCCCCGTCTTTTATTTAAGAACAACTAGTTTAATTTTAAGAATTTAAGTTATGAAATATTGATCAGGGTCTGTGTTTTAAGGTGTAACCGAGGGAGGGAAGTTGCGTCTGAATGACGGCTTCACCCAACATATGACAACGCGATACGTCAGTAACGGCAGAGCCAATCACGTGCCGAAGGGGCGAGTACATGGTCCAAATTTTAGGCGGCGCGTGCGACGGGCCGAAATACGGAGAAAATATATCCCGGTCTCAACCGGTTTCAACCGGTCTGTAGTTGGAAGCATGAGCGTGGAGGAAGAGCACATTTGCACGCATTAAAATATCTCTGCTGTCCAACAGTATGTGCGAATAGAAACAGAAATAAAAACGAGACTCTTTCACTTCGTTATTATGAGCCGGAACATCGGTCCAAGTGTAACTCCGTGAATCTGTGTTGATAGCTTAGCTTAACGTTTCATTAGCCAGTGGACCTGAATCATCATTGACTTTGCCATTAGCATGCTAAGTTGCTATTAGCCTTGTGGGACTCGGTAATCACTAGTAGCTAAAGAAATGTATGTTTGAGTGGTTGAAGACAAGAACTAGTAAGAATGGTAAACTGCCGAAAGCTTTAAATTCAACGCCAGAATTGCGAAGTAAACACCGTAACGGTATTTTTCAAAATAGGGATTAGTGCCACCCAGCAACATTAGCTTTTGGCTATCGAAAGCAAGAAGCAGTGTGTGCCATGAGCTAGCGTTACACCGTCTTAACGCTTTGGGAGGATTAATATTTTGGTCTCCAGCTGCAAGTTAACCAAAACTCGTCTTCGACGAGCGGACAGGACCTATCAGGTAAGTTAAACCCGATCAACATTAATCGAACTTACCCTGCGTGAGCTAACGTTAGTATCCGTCAGTTTCAAAAGTACTCTGCTAGTTTTGTCTGGAGCTTGTCTAACTAGCACTTAGACATGGTAAACATGGAATAACGCATTGTATAAGACTGACATCTCAGTCTGTTTTCCATCATTGCTTACATATTTCATTTGCTCTCAACAGTCGCTAAACACTTCCAACGTTATCAGTCGGGTTCTGTTGGCTGCAGCTCTACGCACCCACTTCGCCAGATGGGGGCGTTGTTGCACTCTGTACCAGTTATGATTAGTTTTAATGCCATAACTGGAGCACGAGGTCTGACTTCAGGCTGGCTGCCTTGGCACATTTTGTCAGAACAAGATCTTTGACTACTGAGACATTTGTCTGTGCGTGCTACACAATTTGAAAGAGAAACCCTGACCGTGCTTACAATTAACTCCTCTGTTTTTAAAAGCTATGCATGCATTGGCTTTCCCTGATTTATAATATAGTCATTGAAATATTAATAGCCCCGCACTAATACTCATAGCTGAAGTTCTTAACACTCATACTTCAAACTCTTCCTGAAAATGTTTGTAATGTTTGAGTGTTTTTACTGTTACAGTGCTGCCGTGATTGAAGTCCAATCATTTCTTCTCCCCACTCCTCAGAAGCTCTATGCCAGCAGAAATTACCATGTTGGCAGATCACCCAGCCAGACAACTGCTGGACTTCAGTCAGAGACTGGACATCAACCTGTTGGACAATGTTGTCAACTCCATGTACCATGACATCGGATCCCAGGTGAGGACTGCACCTTTCCACTGTGGGCTTCTGCTTCAGCTGTCTGCTACAATCCAAGCTGTGCCATCTGATTATAAACAAGCCTTTAATAGAGGGCTAATGTGTATTTGAGCTGTAGTAAAAAAATAAAGGTATATCAGGATCTATCCTCCTGTAAAACCAAATGATTATACAGTCAGGTCCATAAATATTGGGACATCGACACAATTCTAACATTTTTGGCTCTATACACCACCACAATGGATTTGAAATGAAACGAACAAGATGTGCTTTAACTGCAGACTGTCAGCTTTAATTTGAGGGTATTTACATCCAAATCAGGTGAACGGTGTAGGAATTACAACAGTTTGCATATGTGCCTCCCACTTGTTAAGGGACCAAAAGTAATGGGACAATTGGCTTCTCAGCTGTTCCATGGCCAGGTGTGTGTTATTCCCTCATCCCAATTACAATGAGCAGATAAAAGGTCCAGAGTTCATTTCAAGTGTGCTATTTGCATTTGGAATCTGTTGCTGTCAACTCTCAAGATGAGATCCAAAGAGCTGTCACTATCAGTGAAGCAAGCC